ATGTTATAACAAAGTATTTTTTAGATAACTCAACTGTGGATGGATGGATGGATGGATGGATGGATGGATGGATGGATGGATGGATGGATGGAGCTAAACTTACCTCTTCCACAGAGATGGGAAGAATCACTCGACTGGAAGAGCAGAAATAAAAAAGTTATTTAACAGTGATTCGGACACTTTTTTCCTCCTAAACCAAAACAAGTTTATAATGCTCCTAAACAAAAATAAAAAAGCTACACATACATCAATGTGGCTCTTTAAGATCAATTACAAAAACATTTTAGAAATAACACTAGTAATACTGAACAGCCCCTGATCATGAAATAATGTTTAGTGAGTTGAATATAAATCATTCTCACAAATCAATTTATGACAATATTTGCTCTAAAAAGACACCATTACACAGCAACAGAGGGAAGAAAATGGTTCTACCATTGATCCAAACATTATTAAAACAGCAACTAGACTGCATAAAAAAATAAAAAATAAGATCAGTCTTGTCATGGAAAACAGCAATAGACCACTTTTGTTTTCTCTCTTTTCATTGCATTCTTAAAGTAATACCTTAAGAACAAGAAACTGAAGAAAATAACAGTGTTGCAATTTTCTTTTCTCTTTTCAAATGATCTCCCTTACTGTCATTTTTCAAATGCTGAAGTTTATATTAGAGCTCATCTAGCAGAACTCAATAAACAGCCTTTGATGTATTGCTGGTGGCTTTTATTTAGCTTTTTTATGATATACCTGAAAAATAAAAAAAATACAATTTTGTCCCTCCACTTTACAAAAGACAAAAAAACAAAAAACAGGATCTTAACTTACAAATCGTAACAAAACAAATCAACCACAAGATGATTATTTGGCTCTTAAGCAAATGTCCTCTGGGCTCAGAATAGTCCATAATAAATATTGGTTTTGTACAAATTATGAAGCAGGAAAATTAACAAAAAAGGAGGATAAAATACACTGACAAAACTGGCAGATTTTCAAACAGAAATGTGTTCTGGTTCATTTGTATGTGGTTTTGATTAATATAATTAATTAATGAATTAATATAATTTAAATATTAATCACCATTTTACTTAATGCCGCGACCATTTCAACATCAGGTTCTTTTTCTATTTTGCCAAAGTTTTGAAGAACCATTTTTTAGATTATAAATTTTATGTTGCCACTTAAACAGGTGACATAATACTGGTAATTAGCATTTCTATGCATCTTATATTGTTAATTCTACTTTGACATTAGTGGAATACCATGCATAGCAATGCTTTATTTACACTTTTATTAACTTAAATGATTAACTCTTTTCTGTCTGCTAAAAGCCTGAAATGGAATCCAGCCCAGTTTTTAAAAATAAAACAGCTAATAGTTTTTGCAACGCTTGCGGGCATTCACAATCGCTGTAAACACAGTGCACAAACAAAAATAAACATATAAATATCATAGTTTTATTCTATCTAATAAATGGTAATATGTTTTTTTTTTTTTTTTTTATTCCAGCAGTCTAATATACATTACAGTCTATGATTACAAACTCAGTCAGTGACAAATGTCACTGACTGAGTTTTCAGGTTGCATGTAGTTTTATGCATTTCTTTAATAGATTTAAAAAAGATATACTGGGGGAGTTTTATAAACATGGCAAAATATTGTCATCAGTCTTAACAGGCATCTATTGTGGGAATTCCTGGCAGTCTTTGTGAGGCTTTTATTTGTTTTATCGATGTGTAAATTACCTTTTACCTGTTTCTCTCCTAGACAAGGCTATGGGCTTAGCTTTGACTGTATTTATTTGAATGTGCTCTCCCTAATTCTTTTTTATTTGAAATTTGACTAAGAGCTCGTCTGCTTCACTGTTTCTTTTCTAGACAGAGCCACCTATGGAGGTAGTTTACTGTTACCACTTTTAATATAAGAAGTATTTAATAGCTCAGTGCTTCTGTGTTCCTTTTATGTATGTGCTTCTGTCTACTTGAACCCACGGTTGGTCTCAGCAGATGGCTGCTCACAATTAGCCTAGTTCTGCTGGAGGTTTGTTCCTGTTAAACAGGAGTTTTTCTTCCCCACTGTTGCTACATGCATGCTCAGACTGAAGGATCATTACAGGCTCACCTAGGAAGAGCGAATCCTGCAAAGTCAGTGACTTTTTGCAATGATCTGGGTTTTATTAGATAAAAAAACTTTGCTGTCTGTGGGATTTGTTTGAATTATTTCTATAAAATGTCTTATATTGACATGTGTTTTGAATTGGGGCTCAATAAGTAAACCAAATTTAATGTTATTTTTCTCAACAAACACAAACTATACATTTTTACAAGTTTAGTTACCTAAATTGTGAGCGGTGCTACAAAACCCAAACCTAACAGGCAGTTAATCATTTAATCAAATGCTTAGGACAACTGGCATCAAAAAGTTGAAGTCCATGCAAAAATGTGGCTTCCATTTGTCAAGGGTTATCATGTTATGACTCCTGATTGTAAAGGCAAAAATGCTTTAAAAAAATTCTCTCTGAATGTGGCAGGGTTTTTTTGAGAGAAGGTTTTGCACAAGCAAAGCCTCTCACAACGCTCCTTCACAGCAGAGGTTCAGCAGAGTTAGACAGTCATTTGAAATTTGTCAAAATATCCTGAGAGCATATAGCAAAAAAGTAATGTGTAAGACTCAGAAAAAAAGACATGTAGTGAGCAGGAGACATTGACAGACTCTCTGTGAAGACAGACCCATGCCTGACCCAAATTAGGTCTCCTGCTGATGCTGTCTGCAGCCTAAGAACTTTGATGAAATTTGCAACAGAGGCTTAAAAGAAAAGACCAAATATTTTATTTGAATGGTCATGGTGGCTTTAAAGATTTCTGGCTAGCAAAAACAAATCTCAGCAGAGATTTTTATTGCATAGTGGAGGAGAATTTTTTGGCAGACCTTTTCCCTTCAGTACAAAATAAAGCGGTTCAGGTTATGTGGGGATGTTGCAATAGACATCACCTGAAGAGGTCAGCGTTCAAGTTCACATGGAGCTAACTTTTTTAACTGGATCCTCATATTCTCCTAACTTGAATCCAGCTAAGAATATAAGTGCAGTTAGCAAAGAAGGTTTGTCTTGTAAAGAATTTGATATTAACGTTTAACAAGAGTTTTGCAGCAACTCACACCTGAGACCTTCTGGACACTTTCAGTTTGATTTTGTTTGTTTTTTATAGGGGTATGATCTACTACAGTTTATTTTTTGGGAGTTTTAAAGTTAATATCAGTTAATATATTAAAGTCATATTGAAACATCATCTGTCAGATGGGGTACTTTATGTTTTTGCTGGTGCAAAAACTAGGCTGGAGCTTTTGAGCTATATTTCCCTATTGAAGAGTATATATTATAATATTTCATTGTCTATAGATTTATTTAGCAAATATTGACCAGTAATATTTAAAATATTGTTTTAAAAGGTTTCGTCTCTAAGATTTTAATTTATAGCCTGGTACAGTTCCAGATGAAACTATGAAACATTTTTAAAATTACCGGTACTTTAAAAAAGGATAAAGTAAACACCTCTAGCTACAAATACGACCAGATAAAGGACATTATCACTAAAGTTAGATTTATTTTATTTGAAATGGTTTTAAGACTAATGGCATTTCACTAAGAAAACTCCCTCCAATAGGAACATTATTAGAAATCCATGTCTAGCATTGTAATCAGCATATTTACATGTAACGGCATTGAAACATGGGTTCATATGAAAAATGCAAATTCAGATCCTATGTCTGAGTATTTTTCTGACCAGTCTTCCTCTCCTACCAGTTAATGCACATGTACAGTAGCAGCTTTGTCAATTGTTCCACGAACATGTGAAGTATGCCCAAATTCCTATAATCCTGCACCCGGCTGCCACTAAATGTAATCTGGCTCCAACATAGGCACACGCTGAACAGGAGGCCATATGCTGCTGCGGCTTATAACTGTATAAGCAAAAATATCTTGTTTTTCCCTCTTAAAAAAAAAGTAACAAGTTCTTTAAACACTTTTGTACCCGATTCAACACTAAAGCAATAGAATGGATTCCTGATTTGTAAATATGTGCTGAAGATTCTTGTCTTGCCTTTGGGAGTCCCCTTGGTCCAAAGGTCTTGAGGTATCATGTGTCTCAATGTGGCTTTAGGAAACAAACAGCCCTTCTGCCTTGCTCATCTTATATGTCATTGCTGCTTCTTTCCTTTTTCACTCTCCTCCCTCTTCCAGCCTTTTCATTGTATGCTTTATCATTTAATATCATACATTTACATGTGTTTGCTGTTTTATCAGTATGAAGAGCTCATACATATTACAAAAACATGAGGGGTTTTAGGTTAGTGCCAAGTAAAGATCAAAGGTCAAAGACGAACCTCTAAGACATGATTCCTGGCCTCTAGGATAGATTTATATTATATTGGCCTCTGTACATGCCTCTTGCCAGTGTGTTGAAAGTATGTCGAAGCTTTTCAGCCTTCAATCATAACCAATTCAATTAAATTCTAGGCTTATTGCAGGGGGCCTGACTCTCCCTAATCACCACAGATCTTTGACAATGCCATCACTCTGATCAGCAGCTTTTCCACACATTTATTGATTGAATACATTTGAAAGGGTAGCTACAGAAAAAAAGGTAGGTCATCAGACTACAATGCATGCAACAGTATTTACACCATTTAACCTTTTTTCTGACAAATCTCCAAATTGGATTACGGTATATTTGGATTTCCTGAGAAAGAAAAATACCAACCAGTGCATAAATTATGATTAGTGATAATGGAAGTTTGTTACGTGCTTTTATCCAATAGCAGTTTAACAACTGCATTTTACCAAGAGAAATCACGGAAATGGTAGATTCAGAACACATGTTCATAATTTAACCTCAGGATGCGTCTATATATATATATATATATATATATATATATATATATATATAGTAGGCTTAAGTTATGAAGGAGTAGTGTTTAGAAAAAAAACTGTATGACAAGCCTGTATGAAAATGGCTGCCCATGTGCTTATAAGCCAGAGAAGCACATTAATTAGAGGAGCAGCCAAGAGGGCACTGTTAAACAAAGCCACAAGTGGTCCCATTAACAGCAGAGTACAACAAATTTGTGAAAGTAGCTGATGTGGTCAGATAAAAACCGAAATAGACAGCACACTGTTTATGGCAGATCACCATGTGTCACACCCCACTGTGACACATGGTGGTGGCAGCCCCATGCTGTGGGGATGTTTTTTTTAAGCAGAAACAGTAAAACTGAGATTTTGAAAGGGAAAAAATGAGATATTTACAGAGGAGTATTTATTTGTAAGTGGGTTGGGTGGAGGTCCACCCAGGATGTTTGGTCCTAACCTTTCAGTCCTGTTCATGTTGTTAGATCAGCCCAAGGTTAAGTACAGTGGAGAATCTGTATAAAAACGTGAATATTTTGACTGACATTAACTTTTATTTCAGAGAAAAATAAGCAATGATCTCAGCTTTTCAATCTTAGAAGTGATCTTAAGAACAAATATGACCCCTCTCAGATTTGCATAAGTAAAAAATCAGCAGTGATATACTGTATTTCTCATTCATTGTGCCCTACTTTGATGATTAAAGCCAAATAAAGTCATCTATGGTCATTAAAGGACAACATGTGAATAAATGGTTTTCACCATATTGGAACTGGAATTCATTTTAGACTGATGTTCAGAAAGTAGCTTTGACCTTGCCACACTTGCAGCGGGTGGAAAATTATGCAAAAATAAAAATTATATTAGAAGGAGGCTATCAGAATAAAGATTTGTTCACAAGATGGAAAATTTAATTTGCTGTACTAAAAACAATACATACAATGAATAATATGTCTTAAGGGATAACTTAAAGGCCTCCTATGAATGAATATTTTTATTTCAATCCAGTAAATTCTCACTTTGCTTGCATTTCTAATTCTGAGGAAAGGCCTCAATCCGTTCTCCTACACAGAACACAAAGTTCTTCTTAAAACAACAAAAAATAAAACATTTGTTAAACCAATACTAAACTTTAGATTAAAATATCAGTCCTTTTGAAAACAGTAAATGAATATAGGCTACCACAACCTCCATTAGGTAGAGCATCTGACACAAACCTCGCCATTTGCCCTTTATGCCACCTCCTTCCTCTACACCTGCCCAACCCGCACCTCCTCCGCTCCAAGCATCCCTCCACCCCGCCGGGCCATCCAACACCTTCTCCATTCCTAAGGAATGCTCCACCGTTTCACCTTCACCAGAGCGCATCAATAACATGGCCACGGCGCAGCGCGGCGCGCAGAGGCTTATGCCAGCCATTTCTGCCTCAGCACCAGCATCCGTCATTATAGCAGCACCGGCAGAGGGAAATAGAGCTAGAACTTGGGATGATGGATGTGAAGGGCACAGAGATGCACCGTCAGTTGGCTCTGTGTGGTGGAGGGAATCTGATCGTGGACATAAAGTCCTCTAGATGTCGACGTCCCTCTTGACGCGCTCTCCTAATTCCTCTCCCGGGCTGTTGGACACAATGTCAGCTCTGCGAAACCGCATCAGCGCTCAGTCACGCAAAAAAAAAAAAAAAAAGAAAAGAAAAAAAGACAAGCACGCAAGCACTCATCATCTGTTACTTACTATTCTTTTATGAGCATTTTCCCCCCTGTTATTTCACAGCTCCAGTGGACCTTTATCCCAGACAGGCGCCGCTCCCAGGGTCGGATTCCTCCCTCCGCGTTTAAAGTCGCCCTTATTTCTGCTCGATTCTCTCCCCCCCTCTCTCTATGTCATTCTACCTCCACAGTCGCTTTTCGCTTTAGATTCACTTCCTGATGGGAGCCGCGGCGCGGCGTTGCTGCTGCTGCTGCTGCTGCGCTCAGAGCACTGAAAAAAAGAAAAACGTGCCTGCGTAAAAAAGGAGCGCACACTGAAAAAAATGGATCAGCAGGAGATTGGTCTGTGGTGCACGCACTTAATTAAGTGACAAACATTTGAAAAAAAAAAGCCCATTTAAATAGAATTTAATGAATTAGTGAACAAATAAATACAAAGTATGCATTAAAAAATAAAAGGAAAAAGGGATAATATTAGAGAAGAAAAAGACTAAACTATCTTAAACACATCATTTGGGCTTGTTAACGTTTGGAATCCATGTCGTGATAAAATCCATTTATTCTATACGCGATGCAAAATAACAGCACAGCAAAGCTGTGACACGAACGGTTCTTTCACCATTTTTCATTAGAGTGTGCAGCCCACTGCGTCATAGTGACAGCGGTGACGTAGAGGCGTGATTCAGCGTCAGAGGATGAAACGGGGATCACCGCTGGCAGAGACTAGACTTCTCTTCCCAATCCTCACTAGTGTCATTATTGCTTTGCAGCCTCATGTTCTCTTCATTATGTTGTATAAATCTTGTCATTAAGGCAAAGCTGAAAATGTTAAGGTATGTTATGTAAAGTATTCTTTTCTATTTGTTTCCTAAAATTGGCTGGATTATAGTAACTCCAGGTTTATTTCAGCCCTCTAATCCCGCCCAACTTCCTGAAAATCACGGGATTTAAATGCTTTGAGTTTGAAATTATGTAAGAGCGAACTGCGGCTGTATTTATAGCCCATCTATATCCGTTTGACAACATAACTGCTAACGTCTCTGTGGTTTATTTTAAAGATACATCCCTCAGTTTATTCATTGTCGACATGACCTCTTGTTTTGCTCTATATGAATATGACTGATGGGATTATTCTACATGCAAAGATATTGCTCTTGAATTGTCTTGCATAAGCATTAATACCACTTTCCATATTTTGTCATGTTACAACCTCAAACCAGTTTTTGTTAGGTGATTTTTATTTTATTGGGATTTATAAGTGACTGACAAACACAAAATTGCACATAACTGTGAAGTACTATTAACATTATTTTATTACCTTTTGCAAAATTATAACTGGTTTCAATTTTGAACATTGGCGGCCTAGTGGTTAGGGCATTGGAATCTAGAGGTTCTGAGTTCAAGCCCCACTCCCACAGGCTGCCACTCTGGGTCCCTGAGCAGACGCTTAACCCCACACTGCTCCCCGGGCGCCATGGCATCCCACTCAAGGGGATGGGTTAAATGCAGAGAGTTCCTTTCGTTTGACAGTGTAATGACAATACAAAGCTGAATTACAAAAAAACAAACAATATTTTGATCTATTACTAACAGGGGCGAATCTAAAGGGGGTCCCAAGGGGGCATGATCAATGATTGGCCACCCCTGTGCACCAGGTGATTTAATAATAATAATAATAATAATAATAATAATAATAAATTTTATTTAAAAAGGCGCACAAAAGCATAAAAAGTGTCAGAAAAAATAAAAATGTGTTGTTCTCAACAAGATTTATTTCTTCCCCTCAGGAACAAGCAGTTATCCTCTAAACCAGATAATGGCAGCAGTCGGATATCCTACTTTGACATTTTTTAAAGCTAGTATGTTAACCAAAAACTGACAAGAAAGACAGCAATTAACTCTTCACAACAATATACTACAATAAAAGAGGACATAATTCATGTTTTTTTATGAATTAGTTTTTATATTTTATGGGGCAATTTGTGTCTGCAGTCATTTTTGGAGTCTTCGATTTAATTTAAGGTAAAGTTCAACTGGTCCATCCATCCATCCATCCGTCCGTCCGTCCATCCATCCATCCATCTGTCCATCCATCAATCAATCCATCCATCCGTCCGTGTGTCCTTCCGTCTGTACGTCCATCCATCCATCCATCCATCCATCCATCCATCCATCCATCCATCCATCCATCCATCCATCCATCCATCCATCCATCCATCCATCAGGAAGCGGGGTACACATTGTACATGGTTGCCAGTCTGTCACAGCACTCAACCAATTCAATTTAATTTATATGTTATGTAGAAGCATACATTTATTTAAAGAGCACCAATGTATATGTTCTTAGATTTATTAGCAAAGGCTTTCGTTCATGCAGTTTTCTCATGAATGAATTATTTAGGCAAACAGTCACTGAGTCACTGTGTAAAGCAATGCATGGAAAATGCTTTACATGATTTGTATTCTGACAGATGCAAAATTGTCTATTCAAGTCCATCATTTTAACCTGTTTATGTCAGACTCTCTTGAAGGCCTTTTTTCCTCTTTCAGGATTCTTTTCAATAAGACTTGTAGATAGTGTTTAATGGTTGTTATTAGAACTGGGTAACCCCCCTAAAATATGATCAGTTCAGTAACAAAGCTAGTTTAAAAGACATTAGAAAAACATGTTGCATTAATGCAAAACAAAAACCAAAACAACCTTAAATATCTGTAATTAGTTTGTTGAAAAATACATATTCAGAGATTAGATTTTGACAAAGTTAAGATAAGGTTAAATTTTAATTACACACTGAATCAAAGATCACGTGTTTTCAGTTGTTTCATCAGCCCTCTACCACTGATGCGAGTCAAGATTTCACACATCTCGTCTCCAGTGGTGAGAGGTGTAGGCTTCAAGTGATAAAAATTTGTGAAAATGTGATTTCAGGTGGCAGAGCAGAGACGAGACTTGCAAAGACCAGCCACCTAGATGTGAGAAAATAGTCTATTCTGATCACACCTGAGCATGTGCTAGGTTTTTCATTAGATAGCTGGAGTTTCAAACATTTTTAATGATTTATTTTTCTGCGCAATCAAATCACAATTTCTATTTATTTCCTCTTTTTTAAGTATACTTAAACCCTTTCAATCTTAATTTTCAAGTCTGAATGGATTTATAGCTGTAAAGAAGGGTCATCTTCGAGCTTATCTTCCCCTACTGTGGAGAAGCTCTCCTAAACTATAAATGCTGCTGCCACATGGTAGTGGTTATGGCATCATAAGTCTCAAACATTGCTTATAGGTAAAGATGTTGATTTTTTTATCTTAATGTGAGATAACGTGAATTATTTAGGCTTTCCTTTAACAATGCTTTCCTCCATAGAAATGCACATAGTTTCCACATGTGCGGTATTTATAGATTACATCTCATTCCCTTTGTGCACTTGAACATTAGCAACATTTGCATGGGGCTTCCTTTTTATATTCTGGGTATAAATATTTTTTTCTGTAGAAAAGTTGTTCACCTTGCTAAGACCAAAGATACTTGGACTGCTGCCATCTCCTGGTTGGTTTCAGAATAGCATAAAAACAATATATATATAATTTGAGTTTTCAGTGAAAAAAAAAGAAAAATCTTTATTGACTTCCACAGATTCTTTCATATCAAACAAAGACACCTGTGTAGCAAAATATCTCTACTTTATCTTCGTACAGAGTAGTAGGAGCTCCAGGCAAACAAAACAGCACAGAAACACATAGCTGCAGCACTGCACTCTTACAGTACACCAAAATAAATACACATATAGCAAAGGGATGGGTGGGAGGTGGGGGGTATCTGAAGCCAATCATCCAGAGAAAGTGCCACCATGAGCTGGGTTTGTGTGGAAGTTGGATAAAAGTGCTGAATCTCTCTAGAAGGAGACAGACCGGAGGGAAAGCTGACTCAAGCTAAGACATCTGAATAACAGCAGCGTTTTAGGAAATGCTGTTAATCACTGTTGCCATGTCAATCAAACTGTAGAATGTGTGTGCAAATGCAATCAGTTAATTCTCACTTTTTTATTAAAAGTATATTTTAAAGGTGTTTTTGTGAAATTAAAAAAATCTATAGCTAAAAAAAACGATAAAATAAATACTCTAAGCATACATTGACTATTTATTTAAAAGGAGTAATCTATCTGATTTCCTCTGAATGGAATTGCACAGCACTGCAGTAGCCTCTAATCCGCTGGAATATTGTCATCAAATGTTAGCCTTACAAAAAGATACGACTGTCTCTTCTGTTTGTCCTTGAAACATCAGCAACATGTCTCGACTCTTACTCATCCTACTTACTCCAGATTTCCTTTACACAATCTCTCAGGGAGAAAATCCAGCAGATGTACTGTTAAATAGCAGCTTGCTATCTGATCTGGGTGATTTGCAGTTAACATCTAATACATTGGAGAAAACGCAGAACAATAGGATCACCCTCTGACTTTTAGAAGTTGGGAAGGTGACCTTGTTGCTGCCTCAGGTGGCCATGTATCCCTTTATTGCTCAAGTGGGGCAAGTTAAAGCAGAATAACTGCTGAAAAACAATCTGCAGGTCAGTCAGGGAGATACAGATGACAGAGGCCTCTTTCCTTTCTCTGTTTCTCCTTCTATTTGCTCTTCATTTCCAGAGGGTTTTTCACTTTTTTTCTCATCATTTGTCGGTTGGAGGCATTCCTGCTGCAACAATCCCAGCATTTTTTCTTTGTTGGGAATAAAAAAATGGATCTTGTCTCCCTTATGGAGATGTTTATGTGTTCAACATTTTAAGACGTCTGTTCTTCACAATGTTTCTATATCTATCTCCCTTTAAACAAATGCCTCTGGGATCTCTGAGCCGTTGATTTTGATGTATATCTTGGCATCGTCAGCTTTCTGTTTTAGTTCTTGATGGAGCGTCCGCCTGTACCAGATCAGATAGAGAGGCAGCAAGAAGCCAAACAAACTGAGCACAAGGAGTCCAATGTTAACCTGGAGGACAAAAGCAGAGATAGCAAATTTTAAGGTTTGCATATGTTTTTGCAGTGATTTTGTAAAATTGTTGAACTATTCCACATGTCGTTTTTTTCCACTCTAGAAACATGTTTTACAAAGGAGTTAATATGGTTTGTTTCTACTTCTAGCTTAATTAAGTATCCACTAGCTTTGCATATTTTGCACTCAGGACATCTTCCCTTTCCCCGATAAATAAGAGCATCAAGAAGCACTGTAAATATTAGTTACCTTATATACACAAGCTCTCAAACACAGGGGATGGATTCAGGTGTTTGTACACATTAAAATTGATACAGATATACTCTATTTTACTCTATTTTTCTATATTTCTATATTAGGTTTATTTTTCTTTGCCACTAAATATATCTTGTAATGGTACAGTGTACTTTTTAGTGACTTTTTCACTTTCTGCAGCTGTAGAAATGAACTTTTAGAAAGTAATCTTCTATTTTCCTCATTCTTCCATCTCTCCTTTATTAATTTAGCCCTTTTAATTTTTTCCCCAAAATGTCTCCCTTTTTTCCTCTGTCTTTTAATCCAATCTATTTATCCATTGGGTTTGAAATAACCCAAAGAATTTTCTAATAAAGCTTTTTTTTATATATAAAACAAGTGGGATACTTTAGTGGATGCCGTAATGCTCCACTCATGAAAGTAAATTTGTTGGTTGTCTTCTTGGTTCTTAGGCAGCAAAAAAACATGTAAGGGAGTGGTGCGTAGGAATTAGAGTAAAGTGATAACTATTAGAAGAAAGCTGCAGGTACCCCGTTAAAAACCCTACAGACCGCCACTCTGGGTCCCATCTGCTGCAAGCTGCCTATTGTTCAATAAGGGATGGGTTAAATGCAGGAGGAAATTTTGTTTTAATGCACACTTGCAATCAACTCAAAGTTGACTATTATTGTTAGTGCAAGATTTACGTGCAATGCAACTTTTAAGTTCGATTTTTGGTTCCATCTGACCAGCCTCTTCACGTTGTACTTCTAAGAAAATTAAATATTTCCAGGTGGATTCTAACAGTTAATTACACAAACTCTGAAGGGGATTTGTTCTGCTGGATTTTATTTAGTGAAATAAAATTGGAGGCAATAGAATCACTCCACACTGTTCGTAGTATGTATCTTTTACCTAAAAGATTCATCTACTTAATCTTCTCTAAAAATTAATTCAGTCAAAACTCATTAGACTGAATCCCCAAATTGATAAACACAAAAAGTCCTTAGGAAATATACTTATAAAAAAGTATACATGTTCATCAAATTCATAACTACTCATTACTTTTTGCTCATCTATATGATAAAAATCCAAATGAATGGCCTAAATCTTTTTTTTTTAAAAGTCACTAGTCACAAATCCTTTTGAAAGACCATTAGTGTGTTTTGAAGCTGACTGTTTTAGTGGGTGAGTATTCCTACCCAGAATGGGTCTCCTCCAAGTGGTCCCATCATGCCCAAAAACAGGGGCTGCTGCAGCAAAGCAAACACAGCACTGGCTAGAGACTGCATCCCTGTTAAACTGCCAAACTGAGATGAGGGATACCTGAAAAGGCAAAGAGTATCACTTTAGTTTCTCCCTTTGAAGCACCCTCCACATGGGGGCAGCTAACATCATAACAATCCATATGCACTGAAAGTTGATCCAAAATTAGTTTGCATATTTCTCTTGCATCAAAATGTAACTTTGCATAAGAAGTTAAAATACTCACACGGCAGCATAAAGGCCCCCAACAGCAGAGTGAATGAATCCCCTCACTACAGTATGTAAGATGAAAGAGACGATCTGAGGAGAGCAGAACAAATGATTGTTTATAATAATGGTTTTACATCCAAAAGCTCTTCAATTAAAATCAGACTTAAAACATCTGAAAACAACATGGCGACATCTATTTTTAGCTTGGTACAGTAAAGTCAGCTTTGCATGTGGACACATGAAGAAAACAAACATCCAACATGGTTAACATCTGATTAACTACTCACCTGTATTTGGAGGTTCGGTATCAAACAGGTGATACCAAATCCTACCAAAAGCATGTTTGTGAGGACGAATGCTCTCAGAGCGTTGGTCACTTTCTGGGTCTTTTTGTCTCTGCGCTTTGTTTTGCTTTCCCCTCTAGAGTTTAAGAGAAAATAAGTTGCATTAATGGGCAGTAATCTCATGTTTACATTTTACATATCAATAAAAATGATAGTATGAAGTATACTTTAAGTATACTAAAGTATACTTAAAGTATACTTTAGTAAACAATAAAGTAAACAATATTATAGTCAACTACACTTGACTATACTATTGTTAAGTATATGAAATATAGTTTAGAATAAGCAAACTCTAAGTGCACTGCCTGATTTTAAGTATGAAATTAGTGTACTTTTAGTATCCTTGAATAAACTACTTTTTGCTAAGGGTTGACAGAACTAATATAACAGAGTCAGGTTGATAGTGTGCATTGCTTTCACATATGCTTTCAGCTCAGGCGTTAGCTTTTCTCCGGAACTGAATTTCAGCTTCATCTTGGCTACTTTAAAACAACAACCCTCATCCTTAAACCAATATGTAGGGGATTTGCTTGTTTGCTGATGATATTGTCCATTCTGAAATACCAACTGTACCCTCATTTTAACTTATCCTCCATTGTCTTTAAATGTTTTCTTGATATTTACAACATTTTCTTGCAGCTATTTTGTGAAATGAAGAAAACTTTTTTGCTAGACTACCAACCAGCAGAGTACTTCCATTAAACAAATCAAGCTCTCTTAATCTATGTACATTTGCAAATTGTAAGAGTTGTTTTAAGTTTCATTTAGGGCAATGCCTTCTTTCTTTCTCGTTACAAGACTGTGGATATTAAACACCTTCATAATTTTTTCATTTTTTTTTTTGCCTAAAAGCAAGGAAAACAAAGCACATATTCTGAAACATAGAACATTTCTCTACCTGAAGTAAATTACAATAAAATTTATACTTTGTTTATACTTTGCCTGTAAAATCTGAAATGCAAACAAAATGCATAATTTTATCAATCAAACAGACCATAAAACTGAAAAGGTTGAGTCTTAATCGTCAAACAATGACTGAAAAAATCTGTTTACATGGCATATAAATATCTGGTTTAAACTATAATTTTATTTTAAAAATAAATTAATTTACTTCATACAAAATAACATTTTCATTTTTTACACAGCTACTCTGTGAATGTGTCTGTTTTATGATGTGGCAACTGAAAGCTGAACACTTAGTATCAACCCACTGGCTTAAAGGTTTCTTGTCCTCTTCGCCGTCATCACAGTCCTTTAGTTTCCAGTCCATAATCTGACCAATCACTGGGGTAGTCATCAGACAAAGCAGCTGCAGCACACCAAAGATGGAGGAGTACAGACTCACTGAAGATCAAACAAAAATAAAACTATTATGGGTTGTTTATGGGAATACCAAAAGACATTTCTGAGACAATGTAAAAACAAAAAGTTAGTTAAAGCCAAATGACGGGAGAAGAGAGAGTGATGTCACTACCTGGCTTAATGGTTAGTCAATATGGTTACGAAGCTGTGTGAGATATTAGAGGGCAACAAGGTTGTTCAAAAGTCAACATGTTGCCATTAAAGGGGCTATTTGTAACTCCAGGAGCAGTGAGACATGAAAAGAGTCATGTGAAAATGTTTGTTCTGCTTATTCTTCTGGTGAAGTTGTTAATGAATAAACCAATGGTTCCTTCAGCTTAAAGCTGCGTCATTACTCTGCTAATAACAAGGACGATGTCTAAGTCATCTGAGAAAACAACAAAAGTTAGACTCTATGTGTTATTAGCTGCATATCTAACAACCTAATGTTAAGGGAAACTACTAATAAAGCCATATGTTTTTTTTTGTCTTACCAACTTCCATTCTTTCCACTGAAATTTAAAAAGTTGCATTCAGTTGCTTTTAAATTATGATATAAGCTGTTTTATGAGGTTTTTTTTTATTGAATGAAGACAGACGTGTCAGAAGGAGATGCAAGCAGACCTGTGTTGAGGTCTCCACCACATAGCACCTCCAGGACGCTGTTCATGGCCCCCATGTAGAACAAGAGACGGAGCTGAGTGATGCACATGGTCAGCGCGCTGAGCAAGAAAATAGGGCTCATGATGCTCTTCAGAAAAGACTCGGCTGCAGACAAGAAACACAAGGGATTGAGAGACAAGACAAACAAACTAAATAACTTTTTTTTAAACTTGATCCTTTAAAGATTTGTATTCACACTGTACTCTTACATTCTTCCTCAGGCTTGCAGTCCATTTCCAGGTCCATGGTGGAAAGGCAGAGAGTGCGTCCATCTTTAGCGACCACCTCCTTCTGTTTCACATTGTTGCTGACGCTCAGACGGCGGCCCACTGTGGTTACTTGGCGGTAGAACTGCTTCCCTGTGATCTTATGGTCAAAACCCAGCCAGCTGAACTTGATCTTTACACTGAGAAAGCAGAGGGGAGAATAAACATACATAATCTTTCTTTGATTAAACTCAGTGGGAGTAGGATTAATGTATGAGGTGTATTTTTGATTGTAAATATGCAACTGTGTGCAATCGGTCTACTAACGTGTAGTCCATATCTTCAGGTCCAGGGAAGGGCTCCAGCGGCCAGTTAAAGAAGCAGTTCAGGAAGACCAGACCAGCACAACAAGCCCACACCACAAGAATGGTAATGAACGTTGCACCAAAATCATAGAGGACCTGTTCACAATAAAGGACAAACCCTGTAACATTTTGAAACCACTTATGATCCTAAAGAGTCATAGAATAGTCTCTTCAAATAACAGTATTTTGTATAGCTTGATAATCTCTGAGGTGATAAGTTAAAATATTAAACATATCACCTAATATATATTTCTTATCTGTTAACTAACTTATTTTGGTGTTTATATTGAAATAACAACCAAACAACAACAATAAAGATAACCCCATCCAGTCGTTAATTGGTGGAATAAAACTGTTTATAGTTGCTCTGGTAAGACTTTTTCACAATTATTTAGTTCCTTTAAGGGACAATTCATTTTTAAGGCTGTCATGATTGTATAAATAAAATTTATTTGGGATTTTCTCTCAGCCCCATATGGTCAAAATTACAAATATAGGCTTAGATTTGTATAAATTTTCTTCCTTTGTGAACCTTTTCAAGTTATCAATAAATAATGTCATGATTTTTTCGTTGGATGTTTGTGCTGTTTCCTTTAAAAAATGCCAGCATTATTAAAAAGTAATTGGTTTCACAAGACTGGAGGTAAGCAGCAGCTCCCCTGCAAACCCTGCACAAATAGGCAGGCATAAACAATGGATGGATGGATAGTTGATTCCCTGCCAAGGACAGTCTCAGTTCGGGACTGAGATGAGGTTTTTGGAACATCCATTGGAACCACAGTGTCATTTATTTCAGATGGTTCAGTACAGGCTTCGATGTTAAAAAATAAAATAAAATAAAAAATAATAATTTACCTATCTTGACTCTTTCCTGTCAATGCTTGAAAAATAAAAAAATAAACTTTTACCTTGTTAGAATTTTGTCTTTACCAGATATCAAACATAATAAAGGGACTGCACAAATTCTCCCAAACATAGTGCTTTAATAGCTGTACAGAATGAGGCAAGAAATCTGTTGATAGCTTAAAAAACATGTTAACATGTAGCTAATTATTATTTAGATAGTTGTAGGGCTTTATCAAAAAAAAGTCTTGAATAAAGAAAAGCCAAACTTAATTATTAAATTGTCTTGCTTTGATTTATTTTAATTGGGCAAACAAAGAATGAAGATATACATTAACATATAAAATTTAAACCCCATAATTGATATGACTCTAATACTTATGATTAATGTATGTAAAACTCTCACCAGAGTGGTGTTTCTAGTAGGCTAGTATACTTCAACAATTAAAAAGGCATTTTTTTAAGACAACAGCAGGTTAACTCGATTTGCAATCATTCATTCTCTAATTTTGCTATCAATTTGGTTGTAATTTATATGAGTTAATATATAAGAATAAATGCTTTCTCCTACCTTGACACCAGGGAAAGTGACAGCAGATGAAGCATATGAGCCGATCATGAGAGCAATGAAGGTAGAACGAAGGTTTCCAAACATGTTAGGGAGCTAAAAAAAAAAAGAAAAGGGAAATCACAGGGTATCAACATATGCTTCAATACTATACACTTGAAGTGGGCTGCTACTCAAAGATATATGCTAAATGAAGTCTATTCCACTGTAAATGTAAGCACAAAGGTTAAACAAACTACTGCTAGCATCATAGTTATGTCAGCTGTGGTTATTTGGAAACAGGGAATAGTATGGGGGCACCATAACACTGATGCCCAATGAGGCGTGGGTCAAAGGGCACAGTTGGGACCTATCAGCAATAATATATGGTTCAAAATCAGAGGAGATAAAAGCACAACAAACCGACATGAAACAAGTTAGAGCAAAACACACAGCTGTCCAATACAGCACTGATGGGGTCTACACAGCTGAAACAGTCAGGGGGGATGAATGAGGTGAGGAGATACTTCGAACTGGTCCTGATACCAGGAACTGTGCACACAAGAAGGAGCGGGTAGTGAGTTCATTTTTCATTTTGTTTTGTTTACACCCACAGCTCCAATGGGAAGACTAGAGTAACAGAGTTGAAGAAAAAAATCGGGCGACACAACCAACAAAAAGGCATTCACAAACCGTCCTGCTTTCAAGTGGCTGAACAACAACAAGCACATTCAATTACATAAGACTGGGGATTGGGGGTTGCTATGGTAGGAAACCAGTTTACTGTATTTACCAACACTAAGCTCATTCAAAAGTGCTGGTTAAACTCAATCAACAGAGATATATCAATTGTTGCATAAGTGACCCAACATGTTGTATCATACAGTCTATATATCACTGCTAAATGGGAAATCTGGCCCTGCTGAGTGTGTCTGAATGGTCATTAGCTGGGTTTGCTCTCTGCAGAGAAGCTATATTCAGAAAGCTAATGATCAAGCTTGTGTTTAATTATTAACTAAATGCTAACGCTTGTTTATACCATATGAGAGTTGTTAGGGAGACAAGGTGAAGCAGCGTCCAAGGGTAAAGAGATGGTTTCATGATTAGGGTGGAAACTCAGGCTTCAGCTAATGGGACATTTAAATGGTTCTAACAGACTGAGCCGTAGAGATGAATGATTTAGCCTGAGAGGAATGACGCTTTACAGGGATTTACTGGGGCAGAGCCCCTCTCCAGTGAAGAGCATCGCCATGGTAGCTTCACAAATTCCTGAGTTATCAGAGGCTAGAAGTGATGGTGAGAGAAGTCAACAGGGGGAGAAACACAGTAGGAAAAGAATGCCAATGAATAGAGCCATCCAGCCAGTGATTCCTTGAATTAATTAAGGGCATGAGTTGTTTTTCTGTGCTTTTGTATTTATGGCTGAACTCAGATTTTAGTGAAAAACATCCAGGATATGTAGCACTTGTTTTGGTCCTGGTGTGCCTATAATGAGATGTTTTGTGCAGTAGCTATTCTTGAGTACAGAGACAGTCATGAAAACAAGACTTCGGCATTACACTCTTGCTATCACAAACAGTAATGTATTTCATTTGAAAGGTATTTGATGGATCATCACAAAATGGTGGATAATTTTGAAGTAGTATGAAAATGATAAGTGGCCAAAAACCTGCGGTGTTCCCTTCAGACTGATACACCTGAGAGAAATTAAACAATTTTATTGGAACTTTCTTTGAAAATAAACTAAACACCAGTTAAACTATAATTAGGTAAATTCATGAGCGATTGGTTGTTCAGGAGTGTAGCTGAATATCACACTTACCAAATGTTTTTAAAATAGTTCTTTCTTGGATAATAAAATAACTATATATAGTTTTCACTTTCCTGCTAAAATTAGCATAAAATTGTACATTTTGTTTAAGTTGTCAAATCACATCTAATCCCGAAATGTAAAACCTTTGATGCAACTGTATTCTCATGTCATACTAATCAATGGCCCTTCCTCATACCTAAAGCATAGATGCAAGTCTAATTTCAGTGTTGTAAATTATGTAAGGGAAGAGTAGGACAAAGGGTGGAATGCAAACAGGATATGGATTGTGAGCCAACAGGGAGCCGGAGATGGGGATAATTTTCAGACACATGGGGTATTTAGTACACATCTGGTCAAACAAAAGGCAGCAAGTGCATTGGTTTTGCAGCAAGAAGACTATAAAGCAGATGAAGGTGGCTTGCCAACTTACTGTAAGGGAGGTGAAAGTCATGCACATGCCTCCGAAGCCGTTGAAAGTGAGTGCAATGAAGATAAGAACGGAGAGATCTGAAAAGGAAATGCCGTAAGATTGCCAACAATCCGACATCACATGTAGATATGGAAAATGGACCGGATGGATCACATGGACTCACCATTTGGTTTGTAGGCCCCATAAGCCATGAGTAGACAGGAAAAGCCAAAGCAAGTGCTGAAAATAGAAGTTTGTTTAAGCCTTTCAAACAACAAACACAAAAGAAGCTAAATAGTTTTGTTCTTTTGTTCTTTGAGAACAACACAGGACAACATTCTTTAATATGAAATATGAACTAATGTTTCTTTTGTTCACCTGCCCAGCAGTCGAAGTTTCCGAGGCCCATATTTATCCATGACAATCCCCAGTGGCAGCGTAATGGCTGAGAGCAGGAAAGAGCCAATGGTGAAAGCCAGATTCAGCATCTCGTCTTGTTCTTTGCAGATCAGCCAGCCGTTCATCCTCAGGGGTCCCTCAGGTACCAGGTGCTTAATCTCCACCCCGTCTCCCACACCCACTACAGAATCATCCCCTTTGAACTCATCTGAAAAGTCATCGGATGCTGGCGTCGCCGCAGGTTGAGACAGATTATAGCTGGAGCTGTTACCTGTGGAACATAACCAAGTTATTAAATCATTTAAATGTCATTAAAATATCATTTGAACATAATTTTAAGGGAGTATGGAAAAAAGAAGGAGAACTCATGACTTCTAAATTTGATGAAATGTAACATTTGCACTTCTGTTTATTCAAAGGATCCTGATTCGTCAACACATAGTCATCACATGTGGAATGAGCTCATCTCGGGTTATCTGTGTGGTAAACCTCAGACTAGAAAATACAAAATGTCAGCAAAAAATCTGCAGTGAAAGAAGAAAAATAAACAGGAACTCATAGATAACTTTTGACTTGAATCTTTTCAGGCAGAAAGGTTGTCTGGGTTTTATTCAGACTTTAGAATATATGTGTGGGATGCAAACATGATTAACTGGCTGAGGCAATAAACTGAAGCGTGTTATCAGAACCAGCAAGCTGTAATGTGAAAAAGGAACAAAAGTCCAAGAAGACTTTAACTGGTAGAGCAGCCTGGGGCACTGCCTTTCCTGTAACAACCAGCCTGCATGAAACCATGACAGTTTTTTCTGCAGGAGCTCATATTATAGAACTTCTCTACATCCTGTAAATGTGGTTGGTGTGTGTCTTTGTTGAATAGTACAAATCTGCAGTTGCAACATGAGCTCATACTAAACCATATGTTTTTCTGCTGTTGCACAACTTACACTCACTCGAACCCCGTGTTTGCACAAAGAAAACCACTCCTGAACCACACTGCTATCTGTTAGATCTAGATTTTATAATCATCTCCCGCACAGGTCATCTAACTTCACCGCCTCATCACTTTTCTATCAGACTTTAAACCTTCCTTCGTCTTTATCGCCACTCTTTAAACTTCCATATAACTGGTAATAAAGGCCTGATGTGGAACTCTCTGTTCCTCGTTTATACATCACATGTCTAAAAAGAGCTGAGATGGATTTCTTTCTTTTCTTATGTCATCAGAGTGAGATAAAACTGATGTTGTAGATCTCAGTAGAAACAGCTATGAGATGCACAAGTGCTTGCAGGTCTTATTCTTCTTTATGGCAATAAACCACAAGCTTTAGTGTAACTTATTGGGATCCACTTAATTGTGAGGTGGTGTGAAATGATCTGTATCATTTCATTATTTATTTATTTTTTTTTTTTATAAAACTCAGTGGTAAATGGATTGGAATAGAACAATGAATAAAATTCCACCATATGTTGCAGTTAATTTTTCCTCTCCACTTCTGCTGCATGCATGCTCAGTTTAAGGAATTGCTGTGGAGTCAATTACGCAATAGAAGCAAATGTCCGCTAAAAAAGGAAAAGCAAATCCTGCAAAGTCAAAGACTCAATGAAGTCAGCTGATTTCCTTAGATAAAAAAACCTGGTCAAACTGTCTCTGTAAAGCCCCTTCAGATTGAATTGCCGCTATATAAATAAAATTAATTGAATTGTTATCAAATTTTGAATTGCATAGAACAAGACGGACTACTACTGGTTGTGCATTTCAGGAAGAAATTTGTTGGCTAAAGAAAGCCATAAAGAGTTTGCAGGTTTTTTGCACTTGCCACATAAAAGGCATTGCAAACGTGAAGAGATATGCTCTGATAAATTAGATCACAGTTGAGTTCTTTTTACAGAATACAATCCTAGACAGCAGTTAAGGACTGCAGAGGCCTGTTAATCACCCATTTATTAAAGAAAGGTGTGTGGCTGCAGGGAAATACCTAAAACATGCAGATATGTTGTTCCTGACAAGAAAGTTTCCCATAACAGAATAAACAGCTTTTGATTTTCAGCAATCTATAAAAATCTATAATTATCCTTAAGCTCTGCCCCCAAATAGGAGAAAACAATTTCAGTTAACATCAACATACAGTTCAAAATAATCCCAAATAAAATGCAACCAAAGTTGATAGTAAATTTCTTTAAAACTAATTCTACGGCAAAATAAAATAGTTCTACCTCCACGCCTTTTTGCTAAACCTCTTTTAAAATAACTGACTGGACCCATACAGTATGGGTTTTTTTATTAATGCAATGTCAGTCCTTGGAAGCAAATAGCAAAACAGAGAATTCAATTTTAAAGAAGGTAAATTAATTAAGAAGGAAAAAAAACACTTCTCAGAAAAAAATACTGAAAGAGCTACAACTCTTTTCAGTGTTGCCTAAAAATGATCTTAAAAGTGCTACAAATTGAAAGTTGACAGGGTCCATTCTTAATGTATCTGTTGTCTCTAAGCTCTTGTCCTTCTCTTTTACTGTAACAGAGACTAAGCACAGCAAAATAAGATAACCCCTTTCAGTCAAGAGACTACATCTTTTGTTTCTTTCTATACTGCTTTCAACCACTTTGCCAACCTGCATCCTTCCTTACTCCAATTCACCTGATCTGGTTACAACCTCGGAGTCCCTAATAATCTGGGACACCTGAATAGATAAACATTTTACTTACAAACAATGAGGGAGACATAAAAGCAGCTGTGTTGCCTGACATTTCCTGAAATAAAGTATTTTTCAATGGTATAATATCAATAAATATAATAAGCCCTATTACTTTTCTTTTAAGGAAGTGTTTTGAGATCAAATTTACAACCTTAATGTCTACATGCTTACTGAAAGTTAAAAACAACTGTTGTCAGAAATAAAATATGTTGCAAAATAAAGCTGATAGTGGGAATGCAATCTGAGACTCACCTTCATCATTGCAAAGATAGGAGTAGAAGCCCTCTGACTTCAGCATGATGAGGAGTGATCCCCATCCCAGCAGCACAGCAGAGAAGAACAGGTTCTCAATAATGGCGGTCACTGCCATCCACCAGCGCCTGTTGAAGGCTGTGGCAAGGGTTGGAGCCATGGCAGCGGGGCAGAGGGGGAACTTAAGAAAGAAAAGGCAAAGAGAAGAAAGCTGGAAGAGTGCAGAGGGAGCCTCCCCGACTGACACTCAGGATGAGGAGGGACGGATTATTTATCTGTGAAAAGAGAAGTGCAGGAGGAAGGGTGGAGTTATAATGTCAGCTAATCACTGAACTCAGTAAATCCTTGAAAGGGTTGGCTTTTATAAAATGACTAGACTAAGCTATTAACTTTGCACATTTGGAGAAAACTGTGAAAGAGACAACAAGATAGAATTCTAAGTCAGGAGCTGCTTTGCATTCTTTTCTGGTTGTTTTCAAACTTAACGTTCCAAAAATGCTGTTTATCCTAATAGATTAGGGTCAATTATTAAAATTCTTGCTGCCACACAGCTGCTGGCCATTTACACACTCTATTTCTTAAAAAAACTAAAAAAAAAACTAATAGCATCTCAGATTTTCTGCTGTAAGTAAACTGGTCCAGACTGGATTGAAGCTTGGACGGCAAATGACCCTCCCTCTATTTCAGATAAGCAGCCCACTTTCTAAATGTTCTCACATGTCCACCCAACCATAAAAAAATTTTTTTTTTCTGCAACTGCTGTTCTGCATCACAATCTTCCTTGTTCATTCACTAACACTGAACACATACACCCTCAGAGGTGCTGTAGAAGTAGCACAAATGAAGAAAGTGGCATCTATTTAGAATACTACTTGAATGATGAGTTTGCACAAAATAACTATTTAAAGGTCTGTATCTTTCAGTAATAAACAGAGGTAAACATGTTTAAACTTCGCTTTTCTTCAAATGTCGACAGATGAATATAAAAAATATCTCACCACTCCTGCAGGGAGAGCTACAAAGCATTCAGCTCTCTGATGTCTATCTTGGCTCCCAGTAACCAGGTATCTGCAAAAAGAAACATTTATATACTCAGGCATTCAGCAAAGGGCGCCCCCTATTGAATTTTGTCATCTGCCTTCAATTTCTGAGAAAGGCCTGTCTGAAAGGAAGTGCTGTGAAAACAAAAAACATTAATCTATTTAGCAGCTTAATGCTAGAAAAAAATGGTCATGTCATTCATCTATGATGAAGGTCATGAGAATATTTTAAAGAAATCTAAGTTTGATTTTATCATTGGTTGTGCAATGGGATGTTTGTGAGTGGATTAATCATGCCAGACATTCTCTGGGAAGCCAGTATATCTGCAGGTGTCAACAGGTCTGTGGATCATTAGTAACTATTGATTGATCAGGAGCGCAGAACAAAGCCTTGACGCAGATTCTGTGCTTATGTGAGCTTTTTTCAGATGTTTACTGGGCTTAGTTTATGAGCTACTGTCAGGTTTGGGCATTGCTGTTTTTAAAATGAGGAGTTTTGGCTCCCTGCCCAGGGAAGCATTATCATGGGGGCACAATTAAAGCACCTTATTTGGCCCAACTTGTATGAAATAATATGGCTATAAAATATGGTTTGATTATGAGGCTAAAGTTTGTTTTTTTTACAATTTAGAGCTTCTTATTTTGTGCCAAATAAAAAGGATATTTTATCCTTTCTAATGCTGTTTTAATTAGAACCACCTTGAAAAACAGACAACAATTAAAAACACAATAGACTTTCAATGGCTCTCACTCTAGCTGACTACATTATTTGACTACCCGAGAAACAGGAAGGGAAAAAAATTATTGATCATCCTGAAAATAAATGTAAAATAAAATTTTCTCTTTTTTATTCAACTCATTTATTTATTGTCTGCCTGGAAATTTAAAACATTCTGTTTGAAAGTTGTTTTTCAGCTTGGATAGTGTCGGTCTTAGCTTGCAATGGACTCTGGATCTGATGTGATCAATATGCAAATCAATCACTGTGATAGCAACAGCAATCCCAGGGACATAAACACTGATATGCTAATTTGGTCTGGTACACAGGTCAAACTCTCAGATTAAAAGGTAAAAGAAACAGCCCTGTATAACAGCCTTGATTTGTGATTCAGGAAATGATGAGCAATCCCTTTGATCTGTAACTTTGGAAGTCTTAAAGGACTAAACGGTTGTTAACACACTCATTATCAACCCATACAAAAAATGGAGTTGATGAATGTTTCAATCAGCATGGTTTATCCATCCTGTTAGTATTCTGGTTTGTCATGGAGGATATATGTGGAGGGAGTCCTGTCCTTTAACAAAGCTATGTTACATTTTCAAGGCAGAAACTAGCTTCCACCAACTCTTAGTCTGTTTGAAATCTACGAGGCCATAAAGCTTTCCCACGGATATTATATATTATATATATTATGTATATATGGATATTATACTTGCACACAGATCTGCAGATTTGTATTGCCTTGCTCGTTATTTTTTTGTAAACCAGTTGGTGATTATTTATGTTGTTTATCTTATTTTTTTACAGGATCTGTTAGGTAAATTGTCAGTCAATTCAGCCTTACCCTTTTCAGTGAAAGTCTCAGTGATAGTATAGGGCCCCTCTACATGCTCCCCCTAACCCGGATCTTTATAAACAGCAACACAACTTACCATAACTATGCAGACAGCAGACAGTTGTACATTACAATGTTACCAGGTGACTACAGACCCATTCAAGCACTGGGTAAATGCATAGAAGAAATCAATGCATGGTGCCCAAATTTCCTTCAGCTGAATCAAACAAAACTAAAGTGATAGTTTTTGGACCAAGGTAAGAGTGTTCAAAAAGTTAGCACACAGCTTCAGTCAATCCAGCTACAAACCACCAATAAGGCTTTAGGTGTAGTGATGGAGTCAGACCTGAACATTCAGATGCTCATAAACACAGTAACAAAGTTTACGTCCTGTCACCTATCGAACATCTCTAGGATTAAAGGACTAATGTTTTAGCAGAAGGTTGATAAACAAGTAAATCTGTTCCTCTTTAGTGGAATTTATTACTAAGATTTTTTCAGAGGTCTGCCTAAAATGCTCTCATTATTACCAGTACCTTAACAAAGAAAGTGGGGCACACCAGTCGGCGCTAAAAACTTTACACTTGCTCCGTCTATCTCAGAGGATAGACCTTAAAATACTTCTATTAGTCTTATTCCAAAATACATTACAGGCATGTTGTCAGTGTACCAGGCACCCAGACCACACAGGTCTATATGTTCAAATCTGTTCTGCACACCCAGTAACAGGACAAAACATTGGGAAAGCAAGGTTTTGTTTTTATAATCCACAAATCTGGAATAAACTCCCAGAAAACAGTAAAAGGTCTGGAATCCTTAGTTGCTTTAAATTTACATTAAAACTCATTTGTTTAGTGGCCGCTGAATGTTCTATCTAAACATTAATAGTTAATTTTCCATTCTTTCATTCCATTTTCTAAATAATTTAGTATTTTTTTAATGGAACATTTTTTTCCTTTCATATATTAATGTCTCTGTGTGCTATACAAATGAACTTGCCTTCTCTTACCTTATCTCTAGTATGTGGAAAACCCTCTGTACTCTTCTTATCAAAGGTGACACTGAGAACTAATAACTGGAGGCCTACTTAAAACATTATAAGTGATCTTTAGAAGACAACTTGTTGAAGAAAATGTTTTGTTTTCAAGCATTATTTAAAAATTATGTTAGTTAAAAAATTATTACATCACACCAAATGACTGTGGGTGTTAAAATGGTAACTACCAGTTTTAATGACCATACATAAATATGTGTTTTGCTTTGGCTATACTTGCAATTGGTCTTTTGAGTACTAATATTTAAGCAATAATTAGGAATTTTGAAAACAATATCTGTAATAAATTATTGTTAAACAACTGTATTGATGTAAATTAGTTAAATGTCAGAAAATCCATGCTGTTTTTAATCATTTAGAGCACTGTAAAGCTACATCTTACTAATTTTAGATGAACTAAAGTACAACAATGCATTTGAAAAGTGTATTTTTTTTTCTTTTTCCTTTTTAATTTTTTTTTTTTTTTTTTTTTTTTTTTTAAGTTTTCTCTTGTGACAAAAAACACAGCATGACTAAAAATGCCCTGCTTGTCTTAAGACCCTTGTATTCAAGTGTTTTCCAATTTAACAATAACATTCTCAACAGTTTCCATCATGTTTGTCTTCTTGGAAGGATCATAAATATGGGAACATGACTGAGTGGTGCTACAGACTTTGCTGACCGCTGCATTAAACAAGAAAAGGGTCAATGACCTGCTCTTTTAAAGAACTTGCTTTTTGTTCCCACACTAAAAAGAAGGAATGCATGGGGTGAATGATCGCCACCTGTTGGTAGCAGGAGATGCTCACATGTGGAAGTAAACAGAACAGACAGAAGAGAAAACAGCTTAAAGAAGCAAATTTATTATTATCTTAAAAAATAACAACAAAGGATTAAAAAATATATGTATCTGAACAAAGTGCACAGTTTAAAAAAGGCCTTAAAATATTTCTATCAGATTTTGAGAGAGACATCTCCAGGATCCCCAAGGGATAAACACAACTTTACTTATGATTTAACAGAATTAAATAACATTCAGACATCAGAACAATGTGCTTCATGACAGACAGTATTTATGCCTAACACATACAGTACAATTATTTGACAGTCTCTCATCTATACATGTTTCTTGCTAGTAGACCGAATGCATTTGACAAAACCAGCGTTTTGAAAGAGCTTTGATGTCTCGATGCTGGAGCTGAAAGGAACACAAGAAGGACATTCATAAAACAGTTTTCAAGCTAATAACTAATGGTTTAAAATATCTAAAAAAAATGTTTAACAAATATTCATTTAAAATGTATAAACATTAATTATTTTTGTCTTTATAGACACGGCTGTAAGCAGAACTACCACCAGTGTCACAACGATCCCTGACTCAGTGATAAAAGGTCCTTTTTGCTAACACTAACTAAAAAAAGCCAGATAACATTGTGAAAGACATTCCTACTGCTTCAAATAGCCACACTGAGACAGGAGGATGCCCCACCTGTTTCTCCCCTGGTGCTATGATTAAATGTACTACAGAGGCCCAGTTTTAATTACCTTAACTTACAGCGATTCAAAACCTGAATTAAATCACTACAAAAAAATCAAGTCCACTCAATTAAGTTAACTAAATTTTTCCTAAAATAAGTGTGTTTTGACCTTTATTTGAGCAAGTAAGTTTGCCAATTTGCCACTGCAATAAGATCATGTAAGTTTAAATGGGAGTGGCGGACTAGTTTGGGGGAGTGTCCGCCAAGTAGTTAGGGAAAAGAGCTTGGAATCCTGAAGTTTAATTATTATTATTTTTATTATTAAAAATAATAAGAAAATTAGTTCACTGCCTCATTTCAAGTGTCTAATGATCTTATTTGAAGGGCAGAGATACTCGTCACATTGGCAGATCATCTTATTTAGCTGCCCAAATTAAGGGCAAATAGATTTATTCTAGGACAGTTCTACTTATTTTAATATCTTTTTTTTTTTGAGTGAAAGAAAGAGAAATTAACAAAGAAAGCAAAATGTCCAGTTGCCTTTGATTTAAGTCTGGTTTGTGCTGGCCATGACCCAGATGACTCAGAATTCTCACAGGCAAACAAGGAAATAAATCAGCATACATAAAAGTGAAACTTCCTCTATTGTTGTTTCAATTTCAAGACCTAAATCTTGTATAAAACTTGCTGGGTGAGAGCAGAGTGTATATAAGTGATCTGTGGACAATCTAGACGAAGGATCTGCAACCTGCAGCTCCATAGCCAAATATGGCTCTTTGGGTCTTCTATAATGGCTCTTAATTGTGGCTAAAAATGATAAAGAACCAAATAATGTTTTTGAATACAGTATAATAACAAATTCCAGATTTAGAACCTTCTGCAGAGGTTTTTTTTTTAAGAATAATTAGAGAACAGAATGACATTAGAAAGAAACAGTGATATAGTTTTAGATCTATACTTTTACTTTTACCATCATTGAAACTATTTGCTTTGCTTTAATAAATTTTACACAGATATCATTATCAGTTTCTTCTTTGGGGAAGCTTTATGTTTTTCTTTATTACTTAAGTAATAAAGAAAGTTTAAGTATAAATACTTACGGTAAATATAAATGAAATTAAGGTTCTTGAAAATGAGTTACCACAAAAAAAAAATTACCACAAATAAGTTGTCAAATAATAAGTTGTAGTTTATCAAAAGGTCATGTAATAATTAAATTGTATTTAGCTGGACTGCAAAATTGCTGTTTGGGTTGAAAAGGTTGCAGACCCCTTATATAGACAGGTATAAATGCTAGAAAATAAAGGTCGGACATATTTCCCACTTGGGCCAGATTACCAACGTTATCTTGTTAATTACATAAAAGGATACATGCACAATAGGAATTTTCTAAATCTTTAGTGTTAAATTCTGCTGCTAAATAAAAAAGGGTGCCTTTTTTAAGTTTCATTTAATCAGGTGTCTGTGGATATCATGCATGCAATGTTGTTTACATTGCTGTGTGTTGAAAACAAAAATGTTACATAATTTGCAAAACAAAAAAAATCTTACTTTACCTGGTAAGGACTTCTCTGTAGCCGCAAAGAAACACACAGAAAATGTTAGAGGAGCGGTTTTTACACAGCTTTAAAGATTTCTGTTTAATAAGAGGCACAAGAACCCCTCACATACAAACCTTTTATTGTATATGTGGTCTCCATGCCTGCATGGATGTGGTCACTGACGTGACAGTGAAGTAACCATGTCCCTGGGTTTGCTGCCACCATTTCAACAGTCGCAAAAGTCCCAGGGAATAGATCAACAACATCACCGCGGTGCACAAGGTCCGTCTGACACACAAGCATAAACAGTCCATAAACTACCACAGAGGGAACAAAAGAAGGAAACTTGCCAAATCACATAACTTAGCAGCTGAGTGTGTGCTTGAACAAACCCTGTAGATGAAGGTTTCAGCGTGAAAATGAACGGTGTGCATGTCTACTTCGTTTCCCATGCCGAGTAGGTACCAGTTGACTTTCTCATTCTGCTGCATCACCAGGCCATGGAGGTTACCGTACACCCTACCGTTAATTCCTGTAAAAAACATATTTACATTTCATCAAACCATCTAAGACTTTTTACCCTGATGTTACCCTTTTTTGAGTGCAATGATGTAAGTTGGGACAAAAAAATATTTTTTTCCACTGTGTCGCAACAGGTTTTAAAGAGGATTTTCCAAGATGTCTCAGAATGTGGCATTTGGTGCATTTGACACTTCTACAGTGCAGTAGGGTTAAGCACCACTGAATGTGGTTTAGGTGATGTCTTTACCGAATTAACTGGGTAAGCTGCTGCAAAACCCCAATTAAAGCTTTTATTGCACTGTATGCGCTTTGCAACTAGCCATAGTCATCTTAGTCATCTTTTTATACTGGAGCTACAGGAGCCACAAGCTCAAAACAGGATGTTGAGTCATAAGTAAATCTGGTCGACATATTATCTCCATATGTTATATTTACATTGTATCTGCAATTCCACAAAGTAATTTCTACCCTTTGTACTCCAATAAGCCATTTTAGAACCAAGGAGGGGAACCTGGTGTGGTGAGACCAAAATAAACTAGTTTTACCAAAACTGACATTTTGTGCATAAGATCCTCACCTTGAAACACTGTAATGGCAGCATCATACTGTGATCATGCTTGCAGGACACAACAAATACTTTTCAAATGTTTCACACGTGTGGACCTTACTCACAAAATAAGTCACTTCTAAAGACAATTTGTAGCCCTACTTTAAAAATTCAGACTCAGCTCGGACTGGGAACGATTTTTGTCATTTTTCCATCTACACCGGCCCACTTAGACAAAAGTCTATTGATCTCTTAGGCCATAAATCTAAAGAAAACATCCTAAACTTGAAACACTTCCCAACCTGGCAACAATGCATGTAAGACGGGAAACATTAGCCTTTAGATGCAAAACCCCATCATGCACCTTAACATCCATCCATCCATCCACTTTCTTACACGCTTGTCCCGAGTAGGGTCGCGAGGGGTGCTGGTGCCTATCTCCAGCAGTCAATTGGCGAGCACATATTTTTTGCAAAATATTCGAACATAAATTCACCAAATATAAGAGGAACATCGTAGTTTGGTTTAAAGAAAGCATTTTAGTTTTATTATCATTTAGTTTGTTGCAAGGATTTTACAGTTTGATGAAATTGAAAATTACACTATATGCCGACCGTCACAACGATGTGCATGACAAGGAAGGACTATATATACTGCATGTATCATTTAAGTAGTTAACATTGTATAACTTCTTGAGCTCCTTGAGTTATTTACTGTCACAGGTAGGTGCTTCGGCCAGAGAGATTAAGTGTTGTGTCCGGTTGAATTAAGGAGGGCCGGGCCTCGCTAGTGAAATTAGGACCGGCCCATCCAGCAAATGCACGGTATCACAGATTAACACCTGAACTGACTTTTTTGTTTGTTTGTTTTTATGGCTTAATGAGAGCAGTGGGCTTTATGCTGCCCTTCAAGGCTTCTAAACCTGGGTTTGATTGGCGACCAAGCTATTCTCAAGCACAAATCAAGGTGCTCATTTGTGAGCCTGGATCAATATTTATTTTTAATTATGTTATTTGTATCACGTGTAGCCTGGTCCCAAACGCTCTGGAGAGTTTTACCATGTTAACAAGAGAAGCATCGCAAGTGAAGTTAGACACTGTCGTCGTACAACATGCAGTAATTTAAAAATATTCTAAAACAGGTTGGGTCCAGATTAGCCAACCGGTGGGTCCGGATCGGGACCATGGTCCACTAATCCGTGACCTCTGTTATACAGGATTATTGAACAGGGTATTAAATGGGTATTTACATAGATGGGTATTTATATATAGCTATTGCAATGGGTATTAAATATAAAAACAGCTTGTTGCGCTGGGTATTAAATAGTAATTGAACAAGTTATTGCTGTTGTAGTGTCGCATTGCAGAGTCTGATGGCACCAGGGATGAATGACCTGTGGAAGCGCTCCTTTTTACAAACAGGGTGTATGAGTCTTTCACTAAAAAAGCTGCTCAGCTCCTCTACAGTCTGGGGCAGAGGGTGAGAGGTGTTGTCCATGGTGGATGTAAGCTTGGACTATCTCAGCTAATTCGGAATCCTACATCATTTCTTTGTACTTCTCTGAAGTCCTAATGATGGTTATGAGATATGTTGTTAGAATGGGACAAAATATAAGCTTTTGTCTTTACTTTTAAACCGTCTTCTAAATGTGACCAGATTTTCACAAATCCTTTAAATATAGTAAAAGTGTCAAAAAACTCATTTTAATTATACATCCACCCTCTCTCAATCTTACCATGCATCAGGTTACTCTCCTCAAAGTTTTCGTCTGGTGTAAATGCATCAGGATGGACACCAAGATAGTTTTTAATGTTGTCCTCCAAGTACCAGGACTGGTTTTCATCATACACCAAAAACAGAAGAGCAAACTCCCTATTTATGTCTGTCCTTTGTCTGTCGACCAGCTCGCCACGCCCCAGAGTCCCGGGCCGGCATATTACTAGAGGCCCTAGAAGGCCACTATAGAGATCCTGTAAACAAACATATGTGTCTGCTTTAGCTACTATTTAAGTTAAACAAGTAATGTGGTTACATGTGAATGTTTTTGCAACAGGAGATTTACCTTGATGTAGTCCACAGATGAGAAGTAGACATAGGAAATGCAGTTAAGTTCAGAAGTGCCTGGGCCAGAGCTTTCAGGAATATCCCAGGTCAACTCAATAATGCGGCCTGATGGATAGATAAAACGTAAAAATGCCACAAAGTTGCTTAAAAGGGCATTTTTGGATGTTATTTTAAAGAAAACAGCACCAGACTCTTTTTTTCAAATTCAATTCTCACCAGGTTCAACAGGAACGTGGGAACCACTGGCCTTAACTCCATGTGCTGTGATGGAATAAGGCCGACTGGCTTTGTTTTTAAATATAATCAGAATCTGCTCTCCCACCTCTGCATGGATTATTGGACCTATATATAAAAGATAATCTCTGTCATTGTGAGTCTTTATTTGGCAAAACTGACATAAGGAGGTTCCAATCTCACCAAGGATGCCCCAGTGGTCCGGCCGTGTCTTCTGTTTTTGAAAGGTTTCGTCAGTGTATTGTCGATACACTACCTTCTTATAGCGGGAGCCAATCCTGTTCTCCCCTTTACCCACAAATATATTACCTGGACTGGGAGACATGTACCAATTAGCTTCTGTCTACAAACAGTAATAAGTTCCACCACTAATCACAGACTTCAGCTCCAACATTTAGACACATCATCCCACAACCGTCCTGTCTAACTAACACACCTCTCCTCTGGGCTTGTGTGGTGGTTCTCCAGTTCCCAGTCTCTTGTTGGGGAGTAGTCCCATTCTATTTCCTCTGCACTGATATAATACTTCACAATCCTGGTAGGCTCAGAGTGTGGGACCTTATTTTGTTTCCAAGGGCACGGTTTCACCCGGTAAAGTTGTCTCATCCCAGCTGAGAAATGATCTGTTGTTCTGCAGCTCACCTCAAATAGACCTGGGAGAATAGGTAAACAAACAAACGATCAGATCACGTTTTATCATCACGATTCTTCCTGTGTATATTTACTGTTCAAACACTGAGGATTGTTTTCATTTTCTTTAAGTGTTCTGTGTAGGAGGATTAACACATCCCTCTTGCTGTTCCAAAGAACATTTGGCTCATGAGCTGCATTTTTGTTTCCCCGTTTGAGCCTACCATTGAGGTTTCATCAATTTCCTGTAAACACTTCCTTCAACAGCTCTGTGAAACTGAGGCCTCTCCTAAAATTCCAACAATAGTATACTAAATAGCAGTCACAGGGAAAAAACAACCTTCCTTCACTATCAATCATCAGAATTAGCTGTTTCAGTAGCAAGCAATTTAGTTTTAAGACTTTTATAAGACTTTTAAATATGTGATGAAGTAGAGATATGATTAAGGGGGGAATAGTGCCGCCAAGAAATGCTGATCAAATGAATGTGACTCACTGATCATCAGCAACTATGACTCCCACTGTAAAAGGCTAGTGTTTGCCGGTATGTAGCAATCAGTTCCAACGCAGAAGGAGAACAGCAATAACTCTCAAAATCGCTGCCCATAAGACATCTTCTCAAAGGAAACATTAGATCATTTATAAACAATTTGAAGTGCATCTAAAATTATTCCTAGATGGAAAACTTTCACAAGCGACAAGCCTTCAAGAAGTAAACATCCTCCCTAATGTGTCTGAAGATTAAGCTCCATCTGAGATTCTACAGGCATCATTATATGTTAGCTTTTTTCTGTTTAGTATTGCAAAGCTGTGACTTATCTCAAATCGAGATTTCAGAATTACATCTGATTAAAAAAAATAAGGTATGCTTGCTATAACCCATAGGGCCAGGTTTGGTGAAAACCAAAAACAAAGAGAAACAGGACAGAGATTTCAAACAATCTATGGAGCATGCTGGCTAAGTGATGCTGATTTGGGCTTGTTTTGCCATCACAAGACCAAGGCAATCATTAAGTCGACTAAGATTTTACCTTTGTACCAAGTTTCAAATTCAGCTATATCTGTCATGCAGATAAAATTTGCCAAATCATAAGATGGAAATTAAAGAATCTTCTGATTATTTAAGAGAATTACTATAAAATAGGAGGTATGGTTGTGTGCAATCACCTTATAAACATAAAAGGGGATTAATTTAGCCATTTAAGCAAAGCAAATTGACAAGGCTATAAAGCAGCATAGCTGGAACAGGAACTGAAATTATTTCTACCATATACCCGAGGGTGTGTAAGGAATTGTTTTATGCTTTGTCAAAAAAAAAATCAAGCTGAAGCTGAAGTGAAACTTTCAACATGACAGTGAGTGTGGAACATACCTTTAATTTCACCAAAAACTGGCTAAAAATTAAGAATTTAAAGTATAGGGCTAGTCAAAGACCAGATCTTTACTTTTTAAAGAAGCTGTAGGGTAACTTTAAAAATATTCAATATTAAAGACACCCTCAAACATCTCAGAGCTGAAAGGGAGAAAAAGGCAAACTTTACTTTGAATATGTCAATGACTGTTAGCAATAAGAAGTGGCTCCTGTTGCTATCTGAGCCAAAGGTTATGAAGCTAAGAACTTAAGTTTATGGCAGAAAAGGCTAAATAAAACTATAAAAGAACATTTAAAATAAAAACTGGAGACACGGGGGGATTTGTAATCGGAAATGTTATATCATTCTTAAAGAGGCAGTTTGTTGTTATAAGATTTTAAAATAAAAAATATATATACTTTTTGAAAAGACAAGCTCGATAGATTTTTCACTATTGGGTGTTAGCTAATTAAAAAGTAATAGTCTTAAAACATAATGATAAGAAAACAGATCTAAAAATCTTAATTATGTAATAAGAAAAACATTGCAAAAAGTGAACTAAAGCTAAGTATTTTTAAATAAGTGTACTTGCACTTGATTTATTTTCAAGCATTATTTAATTTTGCCCTTCTTTTTTTTTTAAAATAAGAAAGTAAAGCGAAAAGCACTTTGCTTATTATGCATATAGTAAATTGTTGGATAACTAACCGTAATTATTTGGCCGCATGGAGAGAGCTGCGGTGGTGTGGGGGAAAAGGCTCACTGTGTCACGTGTTGTGCTTTGTAACTTAAAGGTATTTCCTTCAAAATAGACACCATGTATGTCTGCCTCCGTGCCGAGCCCAAAGGTGTGCCACACAACATTATCCCCAGCACACATCTCCAGCATAGGAAGGTTCCCATACATGTATCCATTTACAGCTGAAGAAAACAAAGCAAAATATTAGAGAAATACAACCTAGATCTTCAAACATATGCTATAAATCTAATCAGCATTAAGGTAAGTCAACAGCCTTTGATTACCATGCATCTTATTGCTCTCCTCAAAGTCCTCGTCTTCTTGATTTGTCTCTGAGGTGCCAAAAAACTTGATGTTTTCCTCCAAATACCAGCTCAAGTTTTCATCCATGACTGAGAAAAGCAGGAAGAACTCCTTATCCACGTCCCTCTGTTAAATAATAAACACAATCAAGGAAACATAAAGGGGAGATTTTAGAAACAACAAATGGGTGTATATATGTATGATATCTTTGGTTACATAACAATGTAGGCAGAAATCTCTTAATATAAGATTGTGTGTTTACAGAGATCAAAAAACCCCAACCTGGATGCCATTCTGCCCTAGCGTTCCTCTTTTGCACACAAGCAGAGGTCCAACTAACCCAGAGTTGGTATCCTTGACAGGATCCGTGCCAGAGTAGTACAGATAGGAAATACAAGGAGCATCAGAGGAAGATGGGCCTTCCAGCACCTGCCACGAGTAGGTGAATCTCTGACCTGGCTCAACGTTTGACCCTGGTTTGTCAATACCTAAAATATTACAGATAAAACAATAAAAGTTTTCAGCTCAGTTATTAAATGAAACTTAAACAGAGGAACACATTCTATTTGGTTAGAAATCAAATACAGTTTGGAGATTTAATTTAGTATTGTTTTGATTTTTCCTCTAATATACTCTATATTCATTGAGTCAATACTTTTTAAAGAAAGGAGCTGTTAATAGAAAACCATGATCAGTCTAATTATCAACTGCCATGTATATACAGCAGGCATCTGTAAGGCAAATAAATAATATATTTCAACATTACAAGAAAGAAAGAACAATGTTGAACACCAACATCATGGTGAAACATGGTGGTGGCAGCAGCATAGAGTGGGCATACTTATATTTGGAATGGTAAAATTTGCGTAAGTACAGTTGGTCTAAATACTAATGTGCATTAATGTTTGTTCTTTTTTATCTAAAAATAATTTATGTATTTTTTCCTCTACTATTTAAATATAGGAAATCCCATTAAAATACATACAAATTTTTGGTTATAACATGACAAGGGTAGAGTATATGCAACTGCATTTGGTGTCTTTTTTGGACTGCAATTCCTGATTATTAGAAAAATGTGAGACTTTACTGTTCTCAGCAAACCGAAATAGATAAACGACATTTACAGATCCTACCTTGATAAGTTCACAAAGCTGGTTCCTGTTTCTATTCCCTGCCCAGCCTCATTGCATTCAGGCACACACATTTACAGATTTAAAACCAATACTTCTCATTAATGAATAACAGTACATCCTGCAGTGATGGCGCATAAGAAAATCTATTCCTAATGTGTTAATGGTGTGAATACCAATGAATGTTAAACAAACAGACTCATGGTTTCCTTGATGGCTCAAACTGTTCTTTTAAAGAGCAATACACAAGGAAGTAAAACCGTATTCAAACATTAATTGTGCTGTACAAGGGTTGGGCAAAAATGTGCTTTTAAATCCAAGGTTAGTTCAACCCTGCAAAGCACAGTCGAGAAGCTCGTATTAAAACATTATTTTTTCCCCACAGCCCAAATACGTAAAGCAACGGTTATTTCTTATTCTACAACTGCTATAAATCCTCAAATTAATTTGAAATAAAAAGAACAAAATACATCTCAAAATAAGTGAAATACAAATAAAAATCACAGATTGAACAAAATTATATTTGGTTTGTTTATGAAATATATAGAACTGTTGTAATAAATATAAACATTCATTTCTGGTTAAAAAGGAGAAAAGGAAGCAAGTTAGGACCATGTAGATAACTAGCTAATTGTCTTTTAACAAAAGGAAAGGCTCCTACAGCAGCCAGTTGCTGAAACTTTAAAGATATATCAGGCTCATTCTGGACATAATAAAGGGTATCGATAAACCATTGCCCCATTGTTGCTTCATTCTCAACTGTTTAGGTTACAGAAAAAGGTTGTTGCATTATAAGTAATTATGGGTCAGCATAAACTGGGGTTCTTGCTCTCTGATTGGTCCGGTCAGTTTTAGTCTGGAGAGTCTGATTCTTCCAGACTGACAAGCTGTCTATTGAATACAGAGAGCTAAAGACAGTCTGATCGGGTCAATCCTCACCATCCTCATAGCTGGTTCCTTGGAATCGCTTGTCATAGTTAAGTCCATGGGGATGAATGCTGTAGCCTCTATCCGCCTTGTTCAGGAATGTCACATTGAGAATATCTCCCTCTTCTACCCTCAGAACCGGACCTGATTAAATGATGAAGATGTGAGATGAACGAAGAACGGGGAGACAAGACACAACAACATAAAAGAAAATAACTGTAGGAAAAAAAGAAAAAGGAAAAACTACCCAACAATCCATGATGAGATGGTGATGTTATGACCTTGGAAAAGGTGCTGTCTGTGTACGCTCTGTATAATACTTTTACATATTTTCCACCAATTCGTCCCCCTTCTTTGCCAAAAAAAACCTCTGATGCACTACAGAGAAAAGAAAACAGAACAACAACATCTCTGGATATCTAACCAAAAATGTCTTGGCATACTCAACAAACTTTATACAGCAGAAAAACAGCTAACAGACAATTAGGTTTTAAAAAAATGCATAAACAGACCAAGCTTTTAAAAGGTATCATGCCATAAAGATATTAACTAAGATGCAGATGGAATGAATCCAAAACTTGGTGAAAAAAACAAAATAAGGGCAAATTTCATAATAAGCATTTCTTATTTCTTTCCTCATTTATACAAAAATTTATTAAGAGAGCTTAAAATATTACTCAATCTAAACATGGAAAGCAGCTATAATTATCAAGCTATCCAAGTTTTGGAAGGTCTCCTTCCCATCAGCTTAATCTTTAGATCCGTGCAAAGATGCTCTATTGGTTGACTATGGCTTAATGGGAAGTGAAGTGTTGTTGTCTTCCAAATTGGAAGTGGCCTACCCATTAAAATGGGTGTATAAATGTTTCCATATTTTTGAGTGTGGCACATTTTATACAATCAGTTGGAATCAAGTGCATGATACCAGAAACCAACCAGGTCAGTCGAGTTAGATTCTGTTATTACAGTCAAACTAAAACCTGTTAGTCTTAAAAGATTTCTTTTTCAGATCAAAAAACTTGCCTATGGGCCTTGAGTCTGAGCCAACTAAAATGTGTACCTCCTATAAGAAAACAACACCAAAGATATTAACTCACCTGTCTGCTTCAGTAAGAGATTCGTTGTTAAACAAATTCTTTTCTGAGGGAGCGTAGTTCCATGTTGCCTTCTCTGCTGCCACGAAGAATTCCCTCACAACACCTGTCAATATTGGAGCGCCTGATGAAGAGTCACATGCCTTCACTTTGTAAAAGGCCTGCATGCCAGCTGAAAGATAGAATTATTCATGTTGTAGACAAAGTTTAAATCTGTACGTATCTCTTAATGAAAGGAAATTGAAGATCAAAAAAAAAAAAAATTATATCATACAAACAATTGAAAAAAAAATGACATCACTCTTAGTACTACAAGAATTGGCCTTACAGTACCTTGTAAAACTTCTGAAGTATTTTAACTCAATTTGTCATGGTAATTCCAAAAAACTGGACTTTGTTTCCAAGTTTTGAAGATGTTTCGCTTCCCATTCAGGAAGCTTTTTCAATTCAAAATTTGAGGAATATCGATGAGTTCAAGGTTTTTTATACAGTAGCTCAACAAAGCCTTGTTTTTATTTTGAAAACTGACAATCTTCACCAACATTTTTCATGGTACAACAAAAAGTAAATTTTTTTTAAATATATTTTATCATTATACACCAACAACTTGTGGTGCCTATTTGTAAGATTAAAAAGGTAAATACTTTTCAAAATGTTATACAACTTTTAAAAAAAGACAGGACATCCCAAATAGATACTTTATAACCAATTTTGGTGTAAAGCTGAAAGGCTTTAAGCTGCAATGCAAATTAAAAGAAATATAGGTTTGTTATTTGTAAAAAGGTTGAAGCTAAGTCAGATTGGGTGAAGATGTATTCCTGTCTCTATCAAAGAAGCATTTCCTAAGTATGATGGTAGTATATTGTAATGTAAAAAATGCAAATTTTTATCATGAAATTGGGGGTTTTGTTAATATAGAAATCATTACACATGCAGAAAACCAAGCACATAATTGTTCTTTGCAGCCCCATTGCTTTCCTAAGGGCCTAAGCAGTTGCTTAAGTTTCGTATTGCATGGACTGGCCCTCCCTACAGATGTTAAGGGATCCATATTGTTAGGATTATTTTCTATTATTCATGTATGTTCTTGTTAAACTCTAATAATTCCTTACATGTTAATGCCTAATGTTACATGCCTTACATGCCTAATGTTTTCCCAAGTAGTTCATCTAATTAGGACTGTTCTTCTGTAAGGGTAGACAGTTATCTCCATTGTGTACATACTGTAACAGAGATTTGGAAAGGAAATGGGAGCTTAGACAGAACGGATCATTCTTAACAGCGAGCTCTCTGTCACTGTGCATTTGGAATGTCCTTGATCTAGAACACTGTGTAATATCCTGATATGGCTCCTCATTTACAAACATGTGTGATGCAGTGATGTGAAATGTGTGGATGTGGCAGGGGGAGACCCTGGAGATGTATAAACTGCTTCTTTAACTGTTATTCTGAGTTCATTTTCTAAACAAGTTGAGCACTGCCATTTGCAATTTCAGCCATTTCTCTTGTCATGTCTCATGGTTATGTAATAAATATACATTATGAAGTGTTATTTAAAGTGTTCGTTCCAATGATCTCTTCTCAGGAAAGAATTGGGGTCAGAAAGCTTAAAGATATACTCTTAATGCTTTCTTTTCCAAAATGGTGTTCCCGCCCTGACCTTAAAACAGTATCACTCCTGAAAAGCCACTGAAGGACCAACCCCACAGCTGTGGCTGCACAAATAGATGTAAGGATATTCCTTTTTAACTAATATCTCCAGTGCTTTTGGGAGCTTGATCTCCACATCCAGACACTTTGGCTTCTCAGGTTGACATGAAGTATACCACACACAAAAAAATTGGCGTTACTGAGCAGGAATTTACTGAGGGACAACTTGACCTCTGAGAAAGTATGTTCACCATCCTTTGGCATGAAAACCCAAACATTAAGTTCTTTGTTAATTAGATTGCTTTGGATTCAACCCTCTAGCAGGACAATTTGATTCCCCTTTAATTAAGATACTCAAACAAATTCTGTCAGTTTCCTTTTAATTACCCGTCCCTTGTGTAAAATAACTTAATTTATGTTATTCTAAGTTATGTTTTGACCTTCTAGTAGAAAGTGTTAACTTATTGTATTAGCTAAAAAAATACCCCTTAGCATTAACATTAGATCATCCTTTTTATGTTTTCTACACATACTGTAAATTGTGTATACAGTTCATTACACATGTATATTATGTGTAGTTACCAAATAAGTCTAATGGTGTATCAAGTAAATGGGTTGAACAAACAGGGTTGGATGAATGATAACATTTAATCAAGTTAAATTTTACTTTAATTCATTAAAACAAACAAGAGGGAAGGAAACTCTAGATATCTAAAATTTTAAGAATTGGGTAAAAATAACATCACAGATTAAACGAACCTTTTTAATGAATTTAAATGTCAGTTCAGTTCCAGCTAATTCTTGTTTTGTGCTTTTCCAGTTTTTCTCTTAAGAAAAAGAAAAAAAGAAGAGCCGAGGGGGAGTATTGAGTTACAAGGGATTTTGTAAAAAAAAAAAAACGAAAAAAAAAAAAAACAGCTATTCCAAGGGCTGTGCAATTGTTTCTCTTTTTTTTTGTGCATTTGTCGACTGGCCAGTGTTTATGTTTTCTGTGTAATTACAGTGAGCTAACAGGAATTAGTAGGGGAACTTATTGACTGATGGAGTGAGGGCTCCGGGGTCACTTTAAAACCTGTTTAGTTCGACTGGGTTGTGAACTGAAACAAAAAATCTGAACCTGTTACAAAACAATTGGGTGAGAAAACCTAATTTTGATGTCTTAAAGTAGCAAACAAATCTCTGTTCTCTAAATGTGTGCACATGTAGTTTAACAGCATGTAATGTGATGTTGGATGTTTTTTTTTAAATACACTATATGATGAAATTAGACATTTTCTTCTTTCCTGGTATTTATATGATTTGACTTTTCACAGGACCTGGAGAGGGCTTAGAGGACATAACAGAAGGGTAAAAATATTTTCTGAAGTTTATTTAGTGTCCAATATGATTCATCACAACAGCTCTGCCTTTAAGTGGGTTATTGGAATGAAGCTAAGAGATTGTAGGATAAACACTGCATAGGGAAGCAGAATGGGTGCTTTTATGCTTTAGGAAAATGAAATCCCAGAAACGAGCATTGAATGATTTTGAATTAAAAGTAGTTTCCTTTTTTTTATCATGATCACCTTGGTCTCTAATTTAACACAGGATGAATCACATTTGAGCTGGAGCTGCTCAAATCAGTAACATTTATTATGGATGTGGCTAAAATGCTGTAATAAACTATAATAAAACATAGAATAAATATCTATCTAATCTAACTTAAAAGGTCAGAAATAATAAAGTAGCAATGACAAACTGAAATTTAGGAGAAATGAAAACAACTTTTGGACAAATTTATTAATGTAAAAGATGTCCTTTTAGATAGACAATGTTGATAAATAATACTTATGACAATGGTTGTATGGTGATTAGCACTGTTGCCTTGCAGCAAGAAGGTTCAGGGTTCAACTCCTGGCCTGGGGTCTTTTTGCTTGGAGTTTCAATGTTCCCTTGTGCATGTGTGGGTTCTCTCTGGGTATTTTGGCTTCGTCCCACAGTCCAAAAACATGACTTGACCGCACTAAATTGGCCTTTGAGGTGTGTGTGCATGGTTGAAGGTCTCTTTATTACCCTGTGACAGACCGGCAAACCTGTACAGGCTGCTGGACCCAAACCTTTTTAATTGTTTAATCATTTTTGTAGGTTTTTATAGCTTCTGTCTGTTTATTTTTGCCAATTAAATTCCACATTGTGGAAAGACAAAGGCATTTCTTATCTTGTCTTACTTTGTGTTTGTACTTCTGTTAGAGAGAAAGGATCTTTAAACTCGAAAATCGCTGGACACAAAAAGAGACATCATTGTATGTTTCCAGTAGAAACACACCCCTTTGCTATGTGAATGCTGGTAACACAAAACAGCAGCACCCAATAGAAACATTCTACCCTGTCAGCAGCTTTTGGCAGTCAATTAAAAGGGAGTAGCAGTGGCATAGAGGTTAGAGGGCAGGATGTCCTACCTTGTAAATGGTCATTAACCTGGCAGCTCAGCAGCCACTTTCCTTTTACTTTGGGCACCATTGTTGCAGTAACAAATGTGGCTGGAAATAGGCTGATAGTGTCAGTGCGATGACCACGGTTCAGCAGGGTGTTTCCGTGGAAGAAAGCACTGTGAATATCCACTTCGTTACCCATACCAAACAAATGCCAGGCTGTGGCATGGTGTCGGCATAACTCAATGCCAGGCAGATTACCATATGTGTACCCATTTATAGCTGTAGTAAAGACAAAAATAAATAAGGGAATAGTAAACAATAAATTAGTGAAAGGTTACAAGTTGTGACCTAACTAACTAGTACAAAGTAATATTGTGAATAAAAAGTAATGAGACTAAAACTTCTCACCGTGCATCAAGTTAGACTCTTCAAAGTCTGGATCATCTACAGTGACTCCTTCTGGATCAAGACATTTTTTTATATTGTCTTCTAGATACCAGCTCAGGTTTTCATCCACCACACTGAACATCAAGTAAATGTCCCGGTCGACATCATTCCTGGCCGACTTTGAAAATGACGAAACCCGGCTGCCAAGATTCTTCAGAATTCCTTAGTGACAAGAAAACAAATGCTTATTTAGTATATTTTACAGACATTTCTTATAATTTTTTTTAGGTATTTCCTTTAAATCATGACTTGCCTGGTTTAGCTCATTTGTTACTGAAAAGATTAATAATGTTTCTAATGACAGTGCGTCTCTACTATAACAGACACACAATAAAACTATAGAAAAAATGGCAGTTCATTTACATATATTGACATTGATTAATTGTACCTGTTTTGCATGTGATCAGAGGCCCAATAAGGCCTGAAGCAATGTCATGTGGGGTATTGACATGTGAGTGATAGACCCAGGTCAGGCAGTTGGCATCATCAGTTGTGGGGGCAAACCTTGGCTTAACCTCCCAGCTGTAAGTAAAGCTGCCTCCTGGAGGGACGGAGTCATCCTTCTTTAAAGCATCTGATGTATTGTCTGGATATAGAGCACCTGACAAACCAAAGCACAGTATTAGTGCCACCATTTGGGATGAGATTAATTTCTAAGTACAGCTGCAATACAATGCCTTCATTTCATTAATCTTAAAATATATAACCTATGAAATATGGTTTGTTTGTATTGATTGAAATTGTTTCTGTTTCAGCATCTGTACCAGTGTGTGGTATTTAATAGCCTAAGAGAGATAATAGCTTTTAAAATGGACTTTTACAGTCACACTGACCACAAAAAGTTCTTTACCTTAGGTCAGTGGTTACCAAAATGTGGGGTCATTGTAATTACAGAGGGGTCATAATAGAAATGAAATGAATAAATGACCCCTTTTTCAGAAGTATTTAAACTGGAAAAATAATGGTAATAGTTGTGTGACGGCTGCATTTACAGCCACACAGATTTTGTAACAAACACAATGTATGTTGTTAAGTTTTCTTCATACAGGGTTTCATTTACAAAGCAATATCATTATTTGAAATGTATTAATCACCATTACACTGTATTACCAAATCAGTGCTCACTCTTTAGTTTACGCTGTTTTTGTTACGATTGTGTTTCATTTATATTCTGTCTAATTTTTGCAGTTGCTCCAGTCCCTTGACTAAGGAACAAGCAGGTGGCCGAGGGGCTGAGTTGATTTGGACCGTACAACATCAATGCAATTGGGGGGAAATGGGGTTTTACTTTATTTACTTTAGTTAAGTTTGTTTTCTTTTTTTTTTTTGGCTCCATGTGTTTCTTTCGTGGACTGGTCAGCCACTATTTAAGTTCCCCTTTGTCACATTATGGGAGGTTAGTTTGTTAAAGTTACAGGTATTTTGAGTAGTTTTGGTTCCTTTGACCTTTTCTGTATCCATTTCTGTATTTTTTTACATTTTAAATATTTTGGGTTAAATAAAAGAGCAAGAGCAGTTTGGGGGCCACTGCCTTAGAGCAACATTCACCTCACTTCACTCACAGACCCTCACATATTTATACAACGACATGCAGATTTGTATGCAACTTTCAGATTAAAGACAAATACTCTTCCTATTGACTCACGGCTACAGTTTTCCTTTAAAAGGCTTAAAGATTTAAACATTGTGGCCGCAGGGTGGAGCAGGGATTAGCTGTGCTTAGTTGCAGGTAGAAGTTGAAGCAAAATGTCTAACTGCTAGGTTAAGTGGTTCCTCAAAACTGCTCTCACTTGTATATTATTTTGTATTTCTTTGACATATGGTACCTGTTGTAATGCCATAAATCCAATGAGTGATGCAAAGAAGACCAATGCAATAAAAACTGTTAACAAGAGTCAAAATGGGGGGTCAGATTGTTCACAACATTATAGAGTGTCTAAAACCAAAATGGAAAAATTACATTAGGTAGGAAGCTCAAAAAGGCTTTTCTATCAGGGCTAGGGAATTACATTTTTTGTTGTTGTTCATACTATACCCACTGATACAGAGAAATATATAGAGAACTATATAGAGAAACAACATCAAGTATTAATAAGGAAAGCTAGAGTAAATTAAATTAGATCACAGAGTCAGTTGGAAATTAGAAATTTTAAAGAAATCTTTTTTCTTCACAACAGTAAAAAAAAGCTATTTTTATTAGTTTTTGTATTTGCTGACAGCCTTTACATTTCCTATTTTACCCATGTCCTCTCTTATCCCTGGCCAGTTCTTTCCTGTTATTTGCTGCAATTTAATAGAAAAAACAAAAAAGAAATGCTTTTGTTGTGAAAGTGAAAAAATCTTCACCAGCATGGGGGCAGATGATTGGGTTGGAGGAGGTTTTTATTTGAACTGCACTGCATGAATGCAATGGCAGATTGGGAGAGACTACAGTATGCATTCCTCTAGGGTCAGTGAGTAATGCAGAAGCATACATGGGGATTTCCAAGTCTCTTTGTAAGGAACAACTGAGCAGAGTTAGTTTCACTTTGTTTGATTCTATCAATGAAAAAAGCAATAATAAATAAAATTTGTACGAAAAAGAAAAAATGAAAGTCAGACTTTGCTTTTCAACCATGCTTTAAAAAAAGGACACACAAAAAAAAAAGATGGTACCCTTAACATAGTATTTTGTTGCACAGCATTTTTCAGGCATTCTTTCTTTTTTATGTAAATATTACTTTTCGGGCTCTAGTGTTCTTTATTTTTTTCTATTATTTTTTTAAATAGGACACAGGAAATCGGAGTGAAGAGAGTGAAAAGACATGCGGCAAAGTTTACTCACACCTGTGACGGCAGCGTTGAGGACCAAGGCATTTGTACATGGGTCGCATGCATAACCCCTGGACCACCACCGCAAACCCCTTTTGAGGCAATCACTGCAGTCAAATGATTCCTGTAAATCTTCCACTCTCAGCAGGTGTTTTGACCCACTACTCATGAGCAAACTGCTCCAGTTGTCTCAGGGTTGAATGGTGCCTTTTCCAGACGGTATGTTTCAGCTACTTCCAAATATACTCATTAAGGTTCAGGTAAGGGCTCATAGAAGCCTACTTTTTATCTGTGTGTTTTGGGTCATTATCCTGTTGCAAGACCCATAGCCTGTCAAGTTCAATTTGGCTCTAACAACGATGATCTGACACTGATGTTCCTTGAGCTTGAAGTTCATCTATACTCACTTTAGAAGTTTTTTCTTGGCTCTTTTGTGGCCATTTCTGTTATCCATCTCTTTGATCTTTCACCAAACTTCCTTCTGTCCCCAAGTCCAGGGAGGTTGGCTAAAGTCCCATGGATCTTAAATTTCTAAATAACACGTGTAGCTGTAGGTAAAGCTACATCAAGCTTATTTCAGGGTCTTATACCCTTTAAAATTAATATGCTTGCCAATAATTTGCTGTCTAAACTCCCATGCCAACTCTTTCCTTCGATTCTTCTAGTCCATGTTGAGTGTGGTATACACCATTTCACAAAACGGCAAAGTAACTACCTTATAAGCCTTACAAGCCTTATATATAGATCTACTGCCTGATTACAAGATTGTAGACACCTGTGATGTTAATTAGTGGACACACCTTGATTTAGCATTGGGCTTGGTCACATTATTTTCAGCCTTTTTTAGGGGTACCCTAATTTTTGTCCAGGCCAATTTTATTATTAAAATTATTATTTATAATAATTTTTTAAATCATGGTTGAAAAGCAAGGTCTCACTACAATTAGTTTACTTTCATAGAATTTTTATTCATTGTTACTTTTGTCAGGTTTAAGTTATTTCTGTAACCATAGTGGGTTTTTATTTCTTTTCCTCAAACGAGGGGTACAAACAATTTTGTGTGTATGTGTGTCCATTAGACTGAGGACCATTTTTCCAATTTCACCATCAACTTGATGATAGTCTGTACCAAAGTCAGGAAATATTTAGCTGGTCCTCACTTCTTTTATTGCTAATGGTTATATTTAGGATTCAGATGTGCATTGAGTTTAAGACAAGGTTAGGGTTAGATATGCACTGGTAATGCATAGGTTTAGCATTATACTAAGGATAGGAATACAAAAAGGTTTTAAAATAAATGAAAATCATTAGTCAGACATGGCTAGCCAATACTTGTTCTTTTAATCACCCATTATTCCTCCCCAACTGTGGCTTTGTTCATAATGTGACAGTTTACCTTCAGCATCTTTCTTATAGAACAGCCCGTGTGGATGAATAGAGTAGCTCCTGCTAGCAAAGTTTTTCAGGTGAATTTTGATGACATCATTAACTTCAGCTCGTATTATGGGTCCCAGATAACCAAGCCACTCCTCACGAGGTGCCTGGCGGCTGAAGGTGGCGTCCGTATACTCTCTGTACATTGCTTTTTTGTAGACACTGCCAATGCGATGTTGCCCTCTTTCCAGGAAAATTGATGCATGTCTGAAAAAGATATAGACAAAATAAAGCAGACGAAACATCCAAAAGAGACAGATCTTATCCTCTATGTTTTGAATTAGCTATTATAATTATATATGGTTTTACAGGTGCTAACATTTTATAAAATGTTGAAATACATTTTTTAAAATCAAGTGGCTAAATTTGTGTAGGTCTGATATCTTATAAATACGGATGTTGTCCAGTACTGCAGCACAGTTAAAAACTGTTCATATCCTCATCAATTGGAGATGTTTTTGTTATGATTACATGTTTTTGACAGTTAATAAGCTGTTAAAGAACCTGTGACTAAAACCGTTTTTCTACTATGTACCTCAAAACTAAAGCAACCAGAAAAGAAAAATCCTTCACATTTCAATTTGTACTTCTACCCTTAAGAAGACTGATTTAAGAAGATGTACAATTAAAAAAATAACATAAAATAAATACAATGTCTTTCTTGTGTGAAATCATATATGAACTAAAAAAAAATCACATTATTATTTATTGTGCCACACTAAAGCCAGAATAATAAAAATAGAATCAATAAGTCACTTAATTAGAGCCTGGCTGACAACACGGAATACATGAGAAGATATTAAAGGGTACCACACTATGTCCCATCGAAACAAATTAAAGACCTGATGAAAAGCACACAATGGCACTGACATCTATCAACCTGGAAAGAAATACAAGGTGAGTTGCCGAGGTTTGCAAAAGAATCTGGAATCAAATCTGAAGCACAGCTACAAGCTCAAGCTCTTGGGCACACTGACAAAAGCAAGTATGCTATACATTAGGGCCACTGGACCCCCTGACCTCCAACAGCAGTCAAGGCAAGTGAAGCAGTGCTGCCAACTTAGTGCTTTTTTGATGCTATACTAATCTACTTTTCAAACCTCTCTTTAGCGCTTTTACTTCAAAAAGATGCCTACTCACCAATCCCGCGACTGGATAATATGAAAAATACAAATTAGGCGATTACATAATGGAGCGCCTTGTAGCGCATTTTGGGACAGCTAAAAACAACTTTTCCTGCTGAGGAGTTGGCAACACTGGGTTAAAGGAATAGTACACCCAAAACATGATTAGCCTTCATTTTCTACTCACCCCCATGCTGAACAACACCCTGGAGTACTTTTTTGATATCTCAAATGCATCTGGAGATCTGGGAGGCTTCTTGCTGTCTGCTGACATTCAAATAATGGAGGTCTACGGTGCCCGAGACAGAAAGGTCCATAAAAAGTCCACAAAAACATTCCTCCATACTGCTCGTCC